ATTTATTCCCTCAGGATCATGTCTCAAAATCCTAAATTTCACCAATTCCCAAGCCCGAAAAAAATTTAATTTGTTTGATTTTTCCCTGTGGAGGTCAAGGGAAATGGAATAAGAACGTGCAGATATATGATATATAAAGAGATAAAAAATCTGAAATAAAAAATATTAAAAATCTAAAATAAATCTAAAATGAACTCTAGATAAACTATTTTTGATATATAAAGATCTATGAAATTTAAAATAAAAAATTATAAAATTAATCTAAAATATAATCTATATAAAATCGAAAATAAAAAATATATCTAAAATAAAATCTACATAAAATCTTTATGATAAATTAAGATATATAAAATCTAAAATTAAAAATATTTTAACATCTAAAATAAATCTCAAATAAAATTCATATAAAATCTTTATGATATATAAAGCTATATCAAATCTAACATAAAAAGATGGAAAATTCTGATTTACCTATTTAAATCAAACAAGTATTTGATTTAAATACTGCTATTTTGCCAAATCAATAGCTTTAAAAAAAAAAGTTGGATTTTTTTTTTGCTGAAAGTCACAAAATTCTGCTTTTTTAGGGCAGGGTGGATGACTGTCATTCCTTTAAAAATTAAAATTTCACCACTTTCCTAATAATTTTCTCATGACGAATCCCTTCTACCACAAAAAGATGAAGCTTTGTCTCCTGTCTGGATACCTCTGCCAATAAATTAATTTGATTTTTCCCTTCCTCCCTAATTAAACTCTTCTGTATCCAGCATTTTTTTCCCCTGTGGAAGGACTTTTACCCCACTTCAAGCCAACACTTGAATTTCTTTGATTTCTGATAAACTGAAGAGATTGAGCTCTTTGAAGTCCTTTCAATCTGGCAAATTCTCCAGCCTTTGAATCATTTGGATGTTTCCTAAACCCTTCCAAAATTATTTCTACAGATGCAAATCGCTGTGCAATGAAGCATGACCTAACCAGAAATTAAAATAAAAACATTTTCCCACCTTTTTCTGCATTTTTTTTTTAATTCTCTGTTCTTCAGGCAGTCAGATTGAGCTGCAGCAAAACTTTTAGGGATTAATTGGATTGTTGAATAATTCAATGCTCGGTGGTGTTCCAGGTAGGGAGGAATAGGTAAAAATATCCCAAAAATAGCAGAAATTAATAATAAAAAATGAGAAAGTATCAGGGATGAGCTGGAAAAGCCTTGAGCACACGGGGAATGTGGTGGTGCTGGATTAATGGTTGAACTTGACAACCTTTGAGGTCTTTTCCTACCTTGAAGATTCTCAAAAATTCATCATAAAAGATATCTCCTTGTTTCTGATCCAGGTTTTAAACCGCTTACCCGGCCAAAAAATTCCTTTTTTTTTATATATCCCCAGCAAAAAAAAAAAAAATTAAAAATGAAAAATAGCTGCCACAAAATGAGTTGTGACGTTGAGAATCAGGAGATGTTCCGTGAGGTATTTATAGGGAGCTGGGGAGGCAGAAGGTGCCGTTTTTGTGCAGTCACGTGTCTGCACGCCCGGGAGGCAGCGTGAGCAGGAATTTATAGCTGGAAGGAACGGGAATTTATGGATGGAAGGGGTGGAAAAAGCAGGGAGAGATGGGATGTGTGGGAAATGAGCTGAACAGGGAGTGAGGGGCAGGAGTGGTGGGATTCTGAGCTGGTCCAAGGTAGAAATGTCAAAATTCCTCCGTTAGGAGCAGAGCTGGGGATTTATGGTGTCCTAAATTTACTGCTTGACGAATTTTGGGTAATTCTGGGGGTGCTGCTTTGGAAGTTCCTGTAGATTTCACTGGATTTTCAAATGGGATAGGAGTACACTTATCACAGAATTCCAGAATGGTTTGGGATGGGAGAAACACAAATCCCACCTTGTTCCACCCCTGCCATGGGCAGGGACACCTTCCACTGTCCCAGGGTGCTCCAGCCTGGCCTTGGACACTCCCAGGGATCCAGGGGCAGCCACAGCTTCTCTGGGAATTCTATTCCAGGGCCACAGCCAGGAATTCCTGCCCAAATCCCATCTATCCCTGCCCTCTGGCAGTGGAAGCCATTCCCTGTGTCCTGTCCCTCCATCCCTTGTCCCCAGTCCCTCTCCAGCTCTCCTGGAGCCCCTTTAGGCTCTGGAAGGGGCTCTGAGCTCTCCCTGGATCCTTCTCTTCTCCAGGTGAACATTCCCAGATCCTGGAAGGGGCTCTGAGGTCTCCCTGGATCCTTCTCCTCTCCAGGTGAACACCCCCAGCTCTCCCAGCCTGGATCCATGGGAATTCTTCTCTCCTGGACACGCAGCGATGGGAGGTGCTCCAGAAGCTGAACTTCCCACCTCTTTATTTCAGAAATTCCATTAATCCCAACTTCCAGATGCCTGAAATCCTGCATGGATTCAATCCCAACCCAGAGAAGCTGTGGCTGCCCCTGGATCCCTGGAAGTGTCCAAGGCCAGGTTGGATGGGGCTTGGAGCACCCTGGGACGGTGGAAGGTGTCGGGGTTGGAACTGGATGAGCTTTAAGGTCCCTTCCCACCCAAACCATTCCATGATTCCATGGTTGCTTTAAAGGCAGGATCACCAGCGGGGACAGGCCGAAGTCAAGGAGGCAGAATCAGGAAATCCCAAATCGTTCACAGTCACAAAACCAGGGATGAAATCCCAGATATTCCAGGGTGGTGCTGCAGGTGAGGACAAAGCAAGGACAGGAGATGGAGCTCCCTGCAGACTCCATCCTGGGAAGGACTGGAATTTGGGAGAGGAATTGGGCGGGAATTCAGATCTGAGGCAGAAGAGCCTCTCTCCAGTGGCATTTACAGCAAAGGATGGAGGAATTTTCCAGCCATTTGAGCATCTTTAAACCCCCTGAAGCCATGGATGTGAGACAGCAGATCCCAAAATCCTCCCAGAGCTCACAGGTGTAGCTCCAAGGCCTTGGAGAGAGGACATGGGCTTGATTATCTCACCAAATTTGGGCCATTCTCTTGCTAATTAATGCTCCCAAGTGCCTGGAGAGGCAGAACTTTGGGAGAGCCTCAGCTCAGATGTGTCTCCAAGAACGCTGAAAGCAAATCCGCGTCTGTCTTTGATCAAAGACCGTAAACATCTCCCTCCTCCCTGGAATCCTCCAACCCAAATCTCAGATCTCTGACTATTCATCACTTCCTTGGGGCAAATCCTTTTTCCAACTTCAGCTTGTTATCTTCGTTGGTTTTTCTGGGTTTTTTTCCCCTCCGTTTTTCCAACGTCCCCCACGCAAATAAAGCAAATAACAACTGTCAAGGCGCAAATAAAAGAAATGTCATTTCCCAGCCCTCGCCAGAGACGTTCCTGCTGGGAGAGACAGAGCTGAAGCTGTCGGCTGCTGCAGCAGACATCAGCGCTGATAATGTCCTTCTCTGCAGGAACATCTGCCCGTCTGGAGTTCATAACGATCCGCGGTGTTTTCCCGCTCGCGGTTTAATCGCCGTTTTATGCGCGATTATAAGCCGGGCTTTTTTCCCCGCCTCTCTTTGATCTGTCTGCTGGAAAAATCACTTCCAGCATTCCCTCACTTCCCAGGTCACCATCCCGAGGGTTGAAGGCGGTTTTGTGGTGGTGGGGGAGCCACGTGTTGGCGCTTTGGGGTCCGGCTCCCTATGGATAAAGGTCAACATCAGAAATCCTCCTCTGGATTTTGATATGGATCGTCCTCGGTGGGAGCTGTCACCACAAAGGGGCCGGGGAACAAAGGCTGCTCTCGTCAGCCCATTCCTGAAGGTTTTGCTTAGTTGGGATTGAATCCCTGCAGGATTTCAGGCAACCAGGATCAATGGAATTTCTGAAATAAAGAGGTGGGAAGTTCAGCTTCTGGAGCACCTCCCATCGCTGCGTGTCCAGGAGAGAAGAATTCCCATGGATCCAGGCTGGGAGAGCTGGGGGTGTTCACCTGGAGAGGAGAAGGATCCAGGGAGAGCTCAGAGCCCTTGCAGGAGCTGGAAATGTTCACCTGGAGAAGAGGAGGACCCTCAGAGCCCTTCCAGGAGCTGGGAATGTTCACCTGGAGAAGAGAAGAACTCTCAGAGTCCTTCCAAGAGCTTTGGGTGTTCACCTGGAGAGGAGAAGGATCCAGGGAGACCTCAGAGCCCCTTCCAGGATCTGGGAATGTTCACCTGGAGAAGAGAAGGGCTCCAGGAGAGCTGGAGAGGGACTGGGGACAAGGCATGGAGGGACAGGACACAGGGAATGGCTTCCCACTGGGAAAAGTGAGATTGAGATGGGATATTGGGCAGGAATTCCTGGCTGTGAGGATGGGGAGACCCTGAGATTTCCCAGAGAGGTTGTGGCCTCCTAATCCCTGGATATTTTGTGTTGGAAGGGACCTTAAAGCTCATCCAATTCCAATCCTGACACTTCCCAGTGCCTTGGAGCGGAGCTGATCCATTCTGGGGGTTTTATCCTGGAGAAGTTTGGGTTTGGGAAGCACTCGGATCCAGGAGGTTCCAGGAGTGCGGGGATGATAAATTCCCCACAGGATGACCAAGGAACAATCAAGGGAGGAGTGTAGGTGGCAGGAGAAGGGATGTGGATTCTTTCCCTCTCCACAGGAAAGGTCGGGAATGCCGGGCCCATTTCGGGGCTCCTCAGTACAAGAAATACACGGATTTATGGAATAAATCCACATTAAATATGGAAATATCCAAATAAATAAAAATAGATTTATGGAATAAATCCACCACAGGGCCCCAGGAATGATTAAGGAAATTGAGAACCTGATGTTTAGGGAGGTTCTGGAATCTCCATCCAATAACATGCACAAAACTCATGGACATGCCTGAGCTACTCCTTTACCTGATCCTGTCAGGGAGTTTGGATTAAAGGATCTCCATAATTTTTTTCCAAAATCATCCATTCAGCGATTCTGTTGATATTTTGTGGATTGCTTTTCAAGCTGGATTTTTCTCAGCACGTACTGAGTCCCCTCTAAATACTCAATTTTCTTTTATTTTGTCTGTGTCTTATAGGTATTTGAAGAAAGAAGAGCCCTGCTTGGAAAATGGGTAAATTTTCTCTTTAAATAAATATTTGCTACAGGCACATTTTGGAAGTGATCAGGAGTTTATCTCATGAGAATGTAAAATTTCTCCTCTTTGCCAAAAGGGATTCACTTTCCCTGATGTGACTGCTGTGCTTTTGAGGAGAGTAAAGGTATAAATTCCCTCAGTTCCCACATTCTGTAAGTTTTGACGTTGGGAAATCATATTCCATCCTTGGAATGAGCTGAAATGAGATGAAAAAAACCTGGGAAATGTCTGTGAAGTCTTCAAAGGAGATGCTGGATGTTCAGATGCTTCCATGGCCTGCTGGAGGGTCTTTGAAATCTGTAATAAACGACATTTTATCTACCAAGTGCACACGGAGATTGGTTTGGGTTGGAACTGATTATTCTTTGTGCTTAGTAAGTCACTTGTGAAATTTTGTTTTTGCATCTCAGATGGTCTTTACAGGCAAATATTTTGATTTTATGGATTATTTGTCTTTATAGGAAATAATTTTTCCATAATTTGTTGTGTTTTGGTAATAAGGAATTTCAGGGACACCAAGGGAATTAAATAACTGAGGGGTTATTGTTCAAAACCCAGCTTTTAATGGGATAGGCAGCAAGTAGAAAACATAAAACCCGTCTCTTGGAAACTGCTGGATGTCTAAAAATGCCAAAATCTGGGAAGAGCCTTCCTCCAACCACTCTCACAAGTGCTGAATCATCTCGGAAAGGTCACATTTCCCACCCTTCCCATGACATTGGACCAGCAGCTCTCAGAAGGCTCCTTCAGAGCTGGCTCTCCTCCTCGTGCTCCTGCCAGCCAGCATTCCAAGGAAAGGAAGCACAAAAGCTGCTCTCAAGTCCCCACCAAGCCTGGGGCTGTGTGAGAGGAACCACGGAGAGAAATCTCAGTGCTCCGGGCAGGATTGTCCACGTTGGCTCCCATGACCTTCTCCAAGTGGTCTCAGGAAATTTGGACTAAATGGAGCTGCTGGAGCTTGGATTTCTTGGCAGGGATCATGCTCAGGGCAGTGTAAAGGATTTATTCTCAAACTGGAAGGCTAAAGCCTGTCCTAACTCCTGTTAAGCATTTTCAGCGATATCCAGGCGATGGAACGGAAAACAAATCCTCATTTAATGGTTGGACTCAAAGATCCAAGAGCTTTTCCAACCTTGATGATTCCTGGATTCTATCTGCAGATGATGCCAGGCTTTCTGAATTTTGGGGGTTTAGAAATCAGACGAGAAAGGTCTGCAGATAGATTATGGGCGAGGGAAAAGCGCTGCACGAAGAGTGACACCCAAAAACTTCACATCTGAGAGAATCTGAGGATGCAGCAGCTCTGCAGAAGAAATCACTGGGAATGAGGGCGGATCACAAACTGAATGTAGGCTGAGAGTGTCTTAAACAAAGGGAAATATCCCAAAGGCAGAGTCATTCCCAGCTCTGCTCCCTGCGTTTTGGGAAAGCTGGGAACAAGTCAGAGGAGAGAGCAGGTGCAGAAAACGTGGAAAACATCCCTGTGCTGCAAAGAAGATGGAGAAGAGGTGTAAAAACATCTTTTAATGAAACACAGAAGATGCCAAAAAAGAGGAAGGGAGTGATCTGATCCCTGTGCTCACTTTGGAGAGGGCAGGAGATCCTGAGCTCACATTGCAATTACGGAGACACAATTTAGACACGAGCAAAATCCAGTGCTGCAGAGAATTCCCTGCTGGAACAGCTTGCCTGGGGATTGAGGGTGGAATCTGGAGACTTCTGAGGTTCCACAAGCACTGCCAGGAGTGCTTTTAGGGAGAGCAGACCCTGCCTTGTGGTGGGAGGTGAACCAGATCAGTGTCCTTCAACTTTTTCCACAGAAGGAGCATCCACCCTCCTGGAAAAGCAGGACAGGAAACTCCTCGTGCAGCCTTGCCACAGTGGTTTTCCTTTATTTGGTTTTCCAAATAAAGATTGGATTAAACTTGGGGTGCTCGTTGTTTATTTGATTTTTGCTGATTTTATTTGCATGCATTCAGGGATTTACATTTTCATTTTGTTATTTTTTCCCTGCTGGTGCCACATCTTTGATGTCTCCCAGGGTGTTGTGGTCCATAAAACACAGGTTGAGAAACAAGGAATGAGGTGACCTGAAGGCATTTAATTTCTGTTCCTGGAGGGTGCAGCCAGGCAGGATTTGGTCTTTGCTTCCAGGGAATAAAGGACAGGACAAGAGGAAACCTTGTCAGGCTGTGCCAGGGGAGGGTCAGGCTGGACATCAGGAGGAATTTCTCCATGGAAAGGGTGGTCAGGGGCTGATCAGGGAGGTTTGGAGACCCCAGGGAAGGACTGGACGTGGCACTCAGTGCTCTGGGCTGGTGACAAGGTGGGGATCAGTCAGAGGAGGGACTTGATGGTCTTGGAGGTGCCTTCCAACCCAAATAATTCTGTGATTCTGTGACTGAACCTCTTGTTTTCCCTTGTGTCACCTCTCTGTGTGGAACTGAGCCCTTCCAGGTGAGGGACACTCTTCCAGGGTGGTGGCCACGGACCAAGTCCTTGGGGCTGTTGGATTATGCTCTGTTCTGACTTAGAGATGAGGAAACTGAGAGGCATTTTAAAAACTTTTATTCTATTTTCAGTCTCATGTGAAGGGTGAGACAATACAGATGTTATAATTCACGCCATCACAATCAGAAATTAACTATTTCTTAACTGCAATGTATTATAAGCATTTCTTGGCCTATTGGCTTTTCCTACACTAAAATTATTCTTTGTGAATGCATTTTTCATAGTTTTATTTCTCTAGATAAAAATTCTCTACAAATCCATCTCCTACAGGGGCCATCTCTGTTCACCTTGCAGTAGAGCACAGGAACACCACCCCCAAATCTGCAGATAAAAATTGCTCTTCCCGTGGCAGGGCTGTCCCTGGCCTAGTTTTCACTTTTACCACCCTATCAAACAAACAAACCTGACATTTTTAGGGGAATCACAGAAAGATTTGGGTTGGAAGGGACCTTAAAGCTCCTCATTCCATCCCCTTCACTATCCCAGGTTGATCCAAGCCTCATTTCCAAGAGGAAATTCCTGGGAAGACTCTGAGGAAGGGAAGTGGCCTGGTGACAAAAATGAGCCATTGCATTGTCACCTGCCACGGGGTCAGCTCCTGGATGGACTTTAAGGTCCTTCTAACCCAAATCTTTTCATGATTCTCCTGTAAAATGTCAGTAATGTCAACATTTCTTTGTGTAACTACAGAGGGAAAAGTGAAACCAAACAGATCCTGAGGGGGAGAGTTCCCAACTGCTGACCAGGAGCTGCTTGGCAGCAGAGATATTTGGGATATTTGGGATTTGCTTGGGTGGATTAAGGGTTTCTACGGATATCAGGTGCCTTGTCTGCTCCTCACCTTCTCTCCCAGCTCCTGGGTCTCCAACAAATCCTTTCAGCAGGACTGGGAGAGGACGGCTGGGGAGGGAGGCTGTGAAAATCTCTCTTGAGGTTCTCTTGGTGGGGAGACTTTTTGTGTTAGGATTGAGACATGAATGGGACTTTTGGTTTTTTTTTGGTTTTCAGGTTGTTGTTTATTTATTTTTTTTATTAACAGTTCAGTATGTTGTTTATATATTAGATTTAGTGTATAAAGAGAAAGGTACCAAAAAAGTCTTAAGACACCCAGTTTCAAGGTCTTCTAAACCAATTTTGTCTAATTAACTTTTAGAATGCATTTTATTTCTACTTTTCTACTAATAACTAATTATTTGTCTGTTCATGTCATAATTGCATTGCAGCTCTTTGTAACTAATCACTTTGTGCTACTAATACTGTAGAAAACGGAGTAGATGAAGAGCAAGAAGGAGATCAGACAACACCCAAAATCTTCTATCTTGTTTTCTATCTACTTCTGTACTAAAAACCTAAAACTCTACGTTTTTCACCCTGTGATAAACTACAGTACTATCTATTTTGCACACTCATCGATTCTAATTTATCCTAAAGTTTTGGAAGTTTTCTCTATGGATGAAGGTTAAAAGCAGTGTTCTCCTGGGGATTAGGACTTCTCAGGACAGGCAGAGAAATATTCTCTGTGCCCTGGGTTCCTGTGGGTTTTTAGTTTGTTTTTTGTTTTTTTTTAAATTTTTGTTGGGGTTAGGACTGAAGGTATTTGAGACAATAGTTTGTGTTTAGATTTAGGTGTTTATTGTTTCATTGTTTAGATTTAGGTGCTTATTGTTTAGTGTTATAGTTTTATTATTGTGGGTTTTGTAGTCTTTTATTAGTAAGGTATAAAATGGTTAACTATTTCATGTTGTAAGATCTTTTAAGACTAAATTATCTAATTAAGAAATTATACTAAGATTATTTTCCCTTTTAACTCAATAATTTATCCTTCAAAGTCCACATTGCAGGCTTTTTTGTCCAATTATAAAATACCACCCAAACCTATGAAGAAGAAGGAAGAAGAAGGTGAAGAAGGAGGAAGAAGGTGAAGAAGCAGGAAGAAGAAGGTAACGAAGAACAACCTGTCTCCACCCTAAAACCTCCATCTTGCTTCATCTTTATTTCTATATCCTAAAACCCTGAACTTTAAGTTTTCCACCCTGTGATATTACACACCTCCAACCAACTACACACTCAGACAATAGTTTGTGTTTAGATTTAGGTGTTTATTGTTTCATTGTTTAGATTTAGGTGCTTATTGTTTTATATGTGTTATAGTTTTATTATTGTGGGTTTTGTAGTCTTTTATTAGTAAGGTATAAAATGGTTGACTATTTCATGTTGTAAGATCTTTTAAGACTAAATTATCTAATTAAGAAATTATACTAAGATTATTTTCCCTTTTAACTCAATAATTTATCCTTCAAAGTCCACATTGCAGGCTTTTTTGTCCAATTATAAAATACCACCCAAACCTAGGAAGAAGAAGGAAGAAGAAGGTGAAGAAGGAGGATGAAGAAGGTGAAGAAGCAGGAAGAAGAAGGTAAAGAAGAACAACCTGTCTCCACCCTAAAACCTCCATCTTGCTTCATCTTTATTTCTATATCCTAAAACCCTGAACTTTAAGTTTTCCACCCTGTGATATTACACACCTCCAACCAACTACACACTCATAATCCCAATGTTATTAATCAATTTTGGAAGTCTTGGCTCAAATGCACTGTTCTTTTGTGGGTCTGTGCCTTTCAGCACAGAAAGTTTAAAATTCTCCAGGGTTCCAACAGGTTCCAACAAGAGGGGAACGTTGTTTGTCTTCTGGAAAATCCATTTCTGGGTTTGCAGAGCGCAGGGATCCCAGCCTGGGCTGTGTCCCTCTCCAGTTGGAGCCAGTAAAACCAGCAGCACAGGGGCCTCTCCCTGATGTCAGGCTTCCTTATTTGTGTGTGTGCACTCATGGATTAATTGCAAACCGATCCAGCACGGCCTGATGTCACTCAATCCCCGCGGTGACATTGTTCTGGGGAAGGCCCCGGCCAGGGGAAAAGCTGCGGGGAGAGGGAAGGAGAAGCCAGGGGAATCCAGTCCGACTGGTTGGGCTGCTGTAATCGCATCCAAGGGCAGGATCTGTGCAGGAAGCGGCCAAATGTGGCATGGGGACTCGTTGATGCTGGAAAAAGAGACAAATCGTGCCAATTTAACCCCTTGGCATCCTGCTCGCAGTGCTGCGGCGCTGCTTTAAATGGAGTTTAAACGCAGGCTGAGGATGATGGAAGGAATTCCCCCACCGGGAAAGCCACGGCAGGGTGGGAAGGGTTAAAAAGGAGCAGCTCTTCCGTCTGCTGGGAAGTGAAGCTGGATTTGTTTTGACTGGTTCACTTAATCTCTTGATGTGGAAGAGACTGAGCCAGCTACTCCCTGGTCTCCGGAGCTCCCGCAGAAATTTATCAGCGCAAATTGGTGATCGGGGATTGTTTTAACGAGCAGAGGATGGGGCTGGCACCAGGGATGGGCAGCAGAAGATTTCCCCCTTCCTGTGACAGAGATTATTAAATTAAATATTTAATTTCAAGGGGTTTCAAACCTTTTATTTCAAGCCAAGGGTGAGAAGGGGGCAGGCAGAACCTCCTCTGTCCCCCTCCGGTTCATCTTTGTCTGATTTTATTCTCAGGGAACATTTCTAAGTCCTAAATCCCCAGGTTCCCCTTCAGTTTTCCCTTAATACCCTGCTAATCATCATTAGAATTGAAAGTTATATGGAAAAAAGGGATTTTTAAAAGAGGGAATATTCCTTAATTCACTGGGTCTGAAAAGACAGTGAGCTTTTCTTTTTTTATTTAGCTTTTCATCTCTCCAGAATCTCAGGAATGCCAATCCCACACTCTCTTCATCCTGACCTTCTTGAAGGTCTTGCAGAGGTGTTGGTGAGAAGGAGAAGAGCTTTTTGCTTCCTGGAGTTTGTTCTCCAGCACTGGAATTCATCCAAGGGAAAATAAATAAATAAAGAAGGAGTTCTTCAAAAATAGTCAGGAAAGAAAATGCTTCTCAATTACCTTCATCTGCACAGTACATTTTAAACTATTATTCTGCCAGTCCTCCATTTGAGCATAGATTTGGTGTGGGGAGGAAGCAGAGAAAAAAAAAATCTACATTTCTAATCTGCCTTTCAAATTCTGTTCTTAATTTCATTCTGACAGGGAAAAGAAGGGACACTGGATGTTAAACTATTTATTTACCCATAATATAAAAAAAAAACACTGGGAGAACTTTTTTCCTTCTTTTTAAAATCTTCATTTTATATATATATTTATATTTATATTTTTAATTTTTGGAAGTCACATTTAATGAAGGACTGAAAGCTCATCCCATTCCACTCCCTGTCATGGCAGGGACACCTTCCACAATCCCAGGCAGCTCCATCCTAGCCTTGAACATTCCAGGGATCCAGGGGTAGCCACAGCTTCTCTGGGAATTCTATTCCAGGGCCTCCCCACCTTACAGGGAAGGATTTCTCCATCATCTAAACCTCTCCTCTTTGAGTTTAAAACCCTTAAATGTTGGAACTTTGTATATTGAGAATTTTAAGTTTTCTGTGCTGACAAGCACTGACCCCCAAAAGAACAACACTGCATTTGACCTGAGGCTGTTGAGAAAGCTTCCAAAATTAAATTATAGAAGTGGGATTATGGGTGTGCAGTTTGAATAGAAGTGTGTAATACCACGTGGTGGAAAACTTATAATTTAAAGTTTTAGAATATAGCAATACATATATAAAGCAAGATGGAGGTTTTAGGGTGGAAACTAATCCTTCTTCACCTTCTTCTTCTTGGGTTTGGGTGGTATTGTGTAATTAGATAAAAAAGTCCGCATTGCAGGCCACAGGTAGTTAGTTATTAAGTTAAAAGTAAAAATAGTTTAAGCATCATTTCTTAATGAAAGAGTTTATCCTTAAAAAGCCTTGTAGAGAGAGAGATACAAATCCATTTTTAGTTTGTTAAAGCGTAGTGCTGTAGAACTCACGCTTTGTGAGACTGTAATATAAATAAGAACTAATAAACATCTGAGTCCGAACAAGAAACACTTTCTGACACATTTAATTCTGACCTTAACAAAAAAAAAAAAAAAAAAAAAAATCCACACTCCCCCTTGTCCTATCACCACACATTCTGGTACGACAGGATGAAGCAAAATCCACATTTCCCCTCAGGAAAACCCTCTCCAACCATCCCGCCATTCCCACTGGGAATTCCTGCTGCTCCTGCCCATGGCCACCACCATCCCAGGGCTTTTCCTCCCTGCTGCCACCGGGGCTGCAGGTTTGGAGCCAGATTTGAGCCATTTGTGGGGACAATTTGAGTCATTTGTGGGGACAATTTGAGCAATTTGTGGGGCCTCCTCCCAGGAGATGGCTGCTGACTTGCCGTCACTCCCACCCTGCTTGCCCAGCTCTGCAAAGCTTCCCTGAATTCCTCCCACACAGATTCAATCCCTGAGGATTCAATCCTCCTCTTTAGGTACCTGCCATCAGCTGTGGAAAAATCTTTCTGACTCTGCCGCCACCGTGGGTTTCTCCTCGCTTGGTTTCTCTCTGCCCGGCTCCTCGTAGCCGGTGCGGGGGGATTGTGAGGAAAAAATACTTCACAAATTGTGAGGCACTCTGAGATTGCAGCAGTGGGGCCTGTGGAAGTGTCAGGGGAGAAGGAATCAGCAATGAATTCATCACTGGGGCCTGCTCAAATGGGTAAAAACCCATCTGATCTCCTCCTTTCTGTGAGGGAAGCCAGTCCCAGGATCTTGAGTGAGTCCTGGCCCAGGCTGTCCTGGATCATCTGAGGATTAGAAAGTGTCAGAGAAGGAATCAGCAATGGATTCATCATTGGGGCCTGCTCAAATGGGTAAAAACCCATCTACCTCTCCTCATTTCTGTGAGGGAAGCCAGTCCCAGGAGCATGAGTTAGTCCTGGAATCAGCAAGTCTAGGCTGTCCTGGATCTTCTGAGGATTAGAAAGTGTCAGAGAAGGAATCAGACTATTGAATTCATCATTGGGGCCTGTTCAGATGGGTAAAAACCCATCTGAGTCTCCTCCTTTCTGTGAGGGAAGCCAGTCCCAGGAGCTTGAGTGAGTCCTGGAGCCCAGCAGTCTAGGCCATCCTGGATCCTCTGAGGATTAGAAAGTGTCAGAGAAGGAATCAGCAATGGATTCATCACTGGGGCCTGCTCAGATTGGTAAAAACCCATCTGAGTCTCCTCCTTTCTGTGAGGGAAGCCAGTCCCAGGAGCATGAGTGAGTCCTGGCCCAGGCTATCCTGGATCCTTTGAGGATTAGAAATCATTTTGTGGCTTCAGAGTTTCTTTTCATGTAGCCTCTCCATTTGTTCCCAACGCTCTGCTCCCTCAGAGTGAGTCACCAGAAGCTGCTGTTCCTGTGCTTTCCCTCGCCTTGTTTTATTTTAAGAAGCTGAATCTCTGGTTTCTCTTCACCTGAAACTCCTAATTTATTTTTTTCCCCTTCAGTTTGACAAGTGGACAGATGGTCAGAGGAGGAGGATCCTGGTGGACCTGCTGGAACGCTGCTCCCTGTCCCAGCAGAAATTCTGTGCCAAGCAGCTCCAGACCCGAGTCCCCACCGAGGCCGTCGATTTTACCACGAGGCTCCCTCGAGTCCTGTCTTTGTACATCTTTTCTTTCCTGGATCCACGGAGCCTCTGTCGATGTGCACAGGTAAAAAAATCCAGCACCTGCCTGGGCTTCAGAAAGCCAGGACACAGCAGTTAAAAAAAAGAAAAACAAAAAACCAAAAAAACCCTGATTTTTGGTGAAGACAAAACGTCCTCTGACTTGGCCAAATGCTTAGTGATGCTAGTTCCTCAGATCCTAAATTAAGCCAGATTGGGCAAGATTCACAGAACTGATGAGTAATTTTAAATGCTCAGTTCTAAAGTATTTTAAAAGTGGCATTTTCAAGGCTGATTATTCCCAGAAAGGAAGCCTGATACTTCCTAAAAATCACATTCCTCTAAAATATCTTGCACTGTGTGCAGAGCCCTTAATTCTTTGAGAGATATTGGCTTGTGCTTTTGCAAAGAACAGCACTCGATCCTGAAAGGAAAACACATCCTTTAAAATGCCTGAAGGTCAAGTGTTGCATGTGGAGAAGCAGAAAATTACAGATGGGCTTTGGAGCAAAATGTTTAAGATTCCAGAAATCTGTTTTCATGGGATAAAATGCTGTGAGATGCTGCCCAAAGTGGTTTTAAATTAATAAGTCAGTTTTCAGTGACATTATTACTGTGCTAATGTAATATTCCATGTTATTTAAGAATATATAATAATCTCAGTTTGGCTAAGCCTTGCTTTAGTAACTTTCTCTAGCATTTCATGTGGATGCAACTCAAACTCCATGACAATAGGTTAGAAAATTCCTTAGAATCACGAATATCTTGAGTTGGAAGGGCCTCACATCATGAAGGCCTTGAAAGGTCTAAATCCTTTAATCAAAGTTTTAAATGGAGCATTAACAGCGCAAAAGAATTACATTCATTTAAGGATATCTGGGAATTATATCCCTGGCAGAGAGATCCAAAATCTTAAACTCTTTAAACCACAAAGTTTCCAAGTGGCTGGGAATTCACAGGTGAGCTGGCACTGGAAGTACCTGTCGGAGCTGGACCAGCTGTGGATGCTGAAGTGCCTGCGTTTCGGGTGGCTCCTCAACTTCTGCCCCACGCCCTTCGAGCAGGGCGTCTGGAAAAAACACTACATCCAGATGGTGAGGGAGCTGCGCCTCAGCAGGCCCCAGGTACGCCCCCAGCTGCTGCCGTCAGCCTCAGCTCGCAGGTTTTCCACATTCTGCGCTGGTTTCGTGTGCTGTCCTCTCCTCTGCCTCTGTCAAGGTTGGGCTTGAAGCGCTCGAGACTTTATTTCGTGTTCAGGCTCAAATGTTTATTTTTTTATTGTCTGTGTTGCAGTCATGCAAGAAGTGAGTTCTGCAGCGTTTCACTAACAAGCCACAAAATGGCTAACTGTCTTTCTCTACAAGATCTTTTAAGGATAAACTGTCCAATTAAGAAATGACACCTAAATTATTTTCCCTTTTAACCCAATGACTAATCACTCAAATTCCACAATGTGGACTTTTCTGTCCAATTACAAAATACCACCCAAACCCCTGCAGAAGAAGGTCCAGCCACCACCCTAAAACCTCGATCTTGTTTATATCTATTACTATATTCTAAAACCTTAAACTCTAAGTTTTCCACCCTGTGATATTACACACTTCTATTCAAACTCCACACCCACAACCACAGTTCTATCATTCATTTTTGGAAGCCTTCTCCACGGCCTCAGGTCAAGTGCAGTGTTCTCTTGTGGGTCTGTGCTTTTCAGCACAAAAAGTCTAAAAATCTCACCATCCAGGGCTCCAACGGTGTGTAACTCTGAACTTCATATAAAGAGTTAGCAAGTTCTCCTCACAGCTTAGTTAGACAAAACAATCATTTTTCAACCCAAGAACCAAGGACAACATTGTAGCTTCAGGTCCCAAAAAGTGTAAATGGATGGGAGCAAACTGGGAGGATGTGACTTCCTTACCTGAAGCTGTAATTGAATAATTAACCCCCAATATGGAAATGGACCAAAACTTATGGAAGTGTGAAAACTTGTGAGCTGTGGGAAATGGATTTGTAGAGAATTCTCAAAGCCTGGCAGAAGGCTCACACATCTGCATGCAAACTTTGAGACTTAGAAATGCCATGGAACAGGACAGTGCATGCAAACTTTAAGACAGGAAATGCTGAATTAGAAATGCCATGGAACAGGACAGGCATTCTTGAGAGAGAAACGGAGCTAGAAACAAGTTTCAAAGGATGGCCTTGCAAATAAGACTAGATACTTTAGAGAAATAAAACTGTGAAAGATGCATTGTAGTAAGACCCATGAAGGGTAATTTTAGATGATTGGTTTTGAGGTATTTACAGTATGGGGTGAGGTAAAAGTTGATAGGTTAAGAAACACTTATAATGTATTTTAATTAAGAAATAATTGGCTTCTGATTGTGATGGCGTGAATTATAACATCTGTATTGTCTCACCCCTCACATGAGACTGAAAATAGAATAAAAGTTTTTAAAAGGCTTCTCAGTTGCCCCAGCTCTGGGTCAGAAAAGAGCTTAATCCAACAGTGACATCCATCAACAGTGACATCCATTGTCCATCTTGGGTGTAGCCTTGGCCAACCTCTTGTACTGCCCAAGGTGTATCCTTGGAAGGCCTTTTTAACAAATTCTTGTTTTATTTCTCTAACTCTGTCTAGCCTCTGTTCTAGGTAGCCTCTCCAGCCACCACACCTCCTCCACGGGTGTTTGTCCCCACTGGGACAACTGGGGGGTCTGGCTCCCAGCCCCTCTGCCTCATGATCCTTTTGGGGATCCTCCTGGCCTGCATTCAAAGCTCAGCCCTTTGATTTAAAGCAAAGTCTGGCTTTAAATCAGGCTCTCTGTAGTTGATAGAAGCTGATGCAGCTCAACAGCAGCTCAGCTCATCTTAATATGGATTACAGGGCTTGGGTGGTGACAAGCCCTGCCAAGGTGCCTCTTTCTGTCCACTGACCACAATGGAGACCAATTTTGAGTTAATCCCCGATTACTATAACTGTAAATTTAGCCCAATCTGATTTTCATCGTGTCTAAAACTCATTTTCTTCTTTCCACCTCTCCAATTAGACTCCTTCCAAGGACGAGTTCATCGTTATCGACGTGCAACCAGTAAAAAGCAACGCCCCAGAGAGGAAACTTTCTGTGGCAGGACTAGGGACAAGCAGGAGGAAAAAAGAGCTCCCTCCTTGGCGTTCATCCGACAGGAACCCCACGGACACCATCCGCTACAACTACCTGGACAACTACGACCCCATCGAGCAGGCCAGGCAGGCGTAAGAGCGCTTCACCTCTTTTCCTTTCTCCCTGTGGAACAAGATTTTCCACGTCCCTCTGCCTGTTCTGGTTGCAAACCCACTTTCCTGCTCTTTTTGGATTGTTTTGGATCGGGTTTTTGGCCCAAAGCTGCCACTGCTTTGTGTCCTTTCTGCACAACTCAGTTTTTGGTGTAATTGTATCTCAGTTCTGTTTTCAGAGCTGAGTTTGGGGTGGATCTCCTGGGAGATGTTACAGAGCTGGAACAGGAATCAGGCCAAGGGTTTGTTGGAGAGTTTTTTAAACCAAGCTGCCAGGCTGAGAGGAATGTGTGGGTTTCGCAGGGGCAGAGGAAGAATGAATTAATTGTGATGAAATGCAATTCTATCTCTCGGAGGATCTCCTGGCTGAGAGGAGGTTGGGATGATTGAATTGCAGGGCAGGTGTAAGAGGATGTCAGAGCATGGAAGTGATGAATGGTATTTGTGTCTGCTCTGCCTGGATCCATCACTTCCTGGGCTCCCAGGATTATCCACATGGGAAAAAAAAAAAAAAAAAAGGCATTTCCCTCCCAGAGCAGAGCTTTGCACATGGATCTGTGCTAGAACTGCCACAGGTTTTCCTTTGTCACCTCTGGCATCAGAGATTTTCCAAATCTTAGATCCAGGGTCAGTTTTCTGTGCACTAACAAGCACAGGGAGGGTGTGGGAGTGACCTGTGGGAAGAGCTCACCCTTTTCTTGTATAAATCCTTGGAAATGCCACCTCTGACATTTCCCAGGGGTCACCTCAGCCCAGCTGGTGTGACAAGGGTGACACTGCCATTAATCCAAGCCTGGCAAAGAGGCAATGGATCCTCTTGAGCATTCCCTGTTTTCTGTGGGAATCCACGGGCTCGCCACGCCGAGCAGGAGATTCCTCTGGGCCGTGCCAACAAAAACCTTGGGAACCGACAGAGCCACGACAAAAAGCACCCAGGTTTTGTTTAAATAAATACCAAACAGAGCCAAGATTATCCCTGCACTCAGGAACAATCAGCCCAGGAGTTACCCCAGCCAGGGATTGTTTGGCCAAGCACTCTGGGAGCTCTTTCCCAAACCCACCGCTCCTCCGGGGTGTTCCACGGAGCTCCCCGAGCAAAAGCCTTTTATGAATCACGTTTTAATCCGCGTCCCCCGGTCCTTGGATGTTGCACTACTTCAAAGAGCTTCCCGGTTTCCACCTCACCCTCTTTCTGTGGGATGTTTCCCAACTCCAACACCACTTTTGGGTCGTGTTCTTTGAGGTTTTTAAGTGAATATTTTCACCGAACGCTTCCTGCTTCAAACAAACCTGGTATTATTTTCCACTCAATGGTTTTGTGTAGCAGCTCCCAGAGGTTTCTGTGAGATTTAGGATTCTCTTGTGCCATTTCTGTGAGGTTTAGGATTTTCCTGTGCAATGAAAAAAGTGGGACAAGCCTTGCTTGAAGAGTTTAAAAGTCGCCTGTCCCAGTGTTGAAAACAATTCACCTGAAATAATGAAACAGTAAATAATAAATACACTCCCTGTTTGCCTCTCCCCAGTGAGATTCCAGCCTGTCTCCATTTGTGGGGAATGTTCTAATGCCAAGTGTTCCTGCAAATCTGCCATTTATCCTCAATTACAGAGGATTATTTCGAGGAGAGAGAGGAATTCGGTGAGATTTGCCTGTTTATTGAGGATCTGCCTTTAATATCCCTTAAGCTGCAGGTAATTGCTGCTGCTCAGGCTCATCTGTGCTGATTATTCAGCAGCACAGGTGCCACATTTCAGGTGCTGACCCAGCCTCCCACTCCCACAAAGATGTTCTGGTGCTTCTTTTCCAGGTACACGTTGCTGTGCCTTCCCAAAAATCCTCCCACTGAGGTTCTGTGTTGTGTTCTCCACCTTTTGGGAATGGGAGTTCAGCTCTTCGGCTGGACCCCTGGAGCAGGGGGACACCACCTTGAGTGTCCCCCAAATTTTGGTGGGGGTGGCAGGAAAATGTCACCGTGGTCCTGGTGTCCCTGTGGGATGCCAAGCCTTGGTTTGGAGTCTCCCAGGAATCCACCTCAGTGCAGGCAGCCCCTGCCTGACCAGGGCTCAGCTTGGAAGGCAGAGCAGAATCCCGAGATAAAAATCTCCGACCCCGCCGGCGATTCCAGGTTCTCCTTCAGATGAGCCGGATTCCACGAGCTCAAGGGCAAAACAACCTCTCCTCATGTAAAATGGATGTCAGGAGGAAGGAGATCGGTGTAAAACGAGACCCTGCAACAATAGAAGCGATTTCCAAGCGTTTGCCAAAGGGAATCTGGGAGGGGAAATGGCTTTTTCTGCGGTCTGGAAAAGAACGGGGGTGGGGGTTTCCTTGAGGACGTGGCAGAACTCGCAGAAACCCAAAATGAGAGCGGAGAGAAAAGGACTGGAGGGAGCTTTTCTAGCCCAGCACCTTGCCTGGGTGTCCCTGAGCCAACAAAGGCTTTTTTCCCCATTTGAGTGCCGAGGAAGCTGTGGAGAATTCCTTGGGAATAAACAGGATCACATCAAAGGAATACCTGACGCCACCATCAAAGCAAGGTGTGAGACCAGTCACTGGCTACTGCCTCGACTCCACATTAATCTCCCTAATTCCAGGTTGGATTTTGTAGAATTTAAGAGGTAATCAACAAAAAAAAAAAAAAGTTTTTCCTAACTCTTGGGCCTGGTTAAAATCTCCTTGTGCTCGACCCTGCTCGGCAGCTGTTTTCTGGTCCAAAGGGAGGGGAGGACTCTGCTGCTCATCACATCAAGGTGAAATATTGACATTTAAATGGAATTCCAGAATGGTTTGGGTGGAAAGAGACATTAAAATTCACCCAGTTCCAACCCTGACACCTTCCACTATCCCAGCTGCTCCAAGCCCTGTCCAGCCTGGCCTTGGACACTTCCAGGGATCCAAGGACAGCCAGAGCTTCTCTGGGAATTCCTGCTCAGGGCCTCCTCACCCTCACAGGGAAGGATTTTTTTCCTAATATTTATCTAAATCTCTTTTAGTTTGAAACTGCTCATGGAAAAAGTCACTTCTTGTCATCCGTGATGCCGCAGAGTTTCCATCAGTTTCTTGGCTGGCCTTTTTGAGTCATCAGCTGCCTTCTCCCTCCCACAGCAGCACCAAAACAACGCTGCTGAGAATTCCTAGCAGGGAATTCATCCTTGTTTAGCCAAAAAAAAAAAAAAGGAAATATGGGAAGAAGAACGAGCTGCAGTCAATTCTCAATTAGGCAGCGCGGTGGAAATGGAGTCCTCTAAGTGGAAACACAAAACACATTTTGCAGGCTATGAGACCATAATTGGCTCTTTAGCTTTGAAAAACAGATCAATAAATTTCCAGACAGCAGCTGGGCAGTGCTCACTGGGGAGAACAACAACACTGGGCCACAGCTGGGAGTGCCCAAAAAACGGGGTTCATTTGCAGTCTGGATGATCACTGAAACCTGGTTTTTGTTTCTGCTGTATTTCTTTGCTGGTTGCTCAGAAAGGCAGGAGTTTGTACCCTAAAAACTGTGCCCAGGAAAACCCCCCTGAGGGAGTGAAGGAGATGGGACAGAAATCCCCCAGTAAGTTCCATGGGAGGTTTTGGGTTTAGTTGGGACAGTGTGGGAAAAGCTTCCCAGTCACTGAGCAGGGAAATTAAGAATAGCAAGGACCAGACGTGCAGCCAAGGGAGTGGTGAGGTGATAGAGAAGAGATACAGACAGGCTTGGATTACAAATTGCCTGGAAGGGGTTATCAAAATCCCTCAATAGAATTATAGCTGTGACTATCGGTGTTGTAATTTATCACAGCGATGATTTCTGGTAGGTCTGGTTTGTTTTCTGCCTGAATTGTCCAAGCAGCTTTTTGTTGCAGACAAAAAAAAAAAAAAAAAAAAGACAAAAAACCAAAAAACCCTCCAGAGATCATCAAGGAAGGATTTGCCTCTCTGGGCACAAAGAAATATTACATAGGGGGAGTGAAAGATTTTTATCTGAAGCGAGTTAAGAAATTTTTCTGTGGGGCTCTGATCTGCCTACAGAGGCCCAGGAGGGCGTTTCTGTCAGGCCCTGCGCGCACAGTTCTGCTGGAAGGCATCTGCTGTTTGTGCTGCTGGTTGCCAATAAATCAAAAGATTTGCCTCCCACTTGATCATGAATAATGAATTCCGATTCCACCGAGTGCTGGAGCCGCGCCAAGGCCGCGGCCTCGTGCCTCAAGACAGGGCCCTGCTCCTTCTCACGACAACAGCTCGGCCCAAACGCCACGTCCTTCCCCCCTCCCCGGCCTGGGGTAATTTATGGCCACGGGCTGGCTCTAAAAAACAGTTGCATATTGTCCTGGAGTGTTTACCCGACGAGAAAATAATTACTTTGGGTAATTGTTCTGCCGGCGGCGCGGGCCCCGTTTCTGACAAAGAGGGGCTCGCTCGCGTGAGAAGGACTCGGAGGGCCCCGTCCTCCCGCATCCCCTCGCTCCTCTCTCCCTTTCCGTGCTGCTCAAAAGCCAGCCCAGCTCCCTGTGGGAATCAAAAATATTCCTTAAGGGAGGAAAAGGGGGTGAGAAACAGCGAGTTCAGCGCTGGGAGTGAGACCTTTCGTCCTTTCTCCTCGTCCTCACTCCTTGCGTTTCCCTGACCTGGAGCTGGGGTTGTGGGGGTGACCTGACACCACGATTTGGACAGCAGAACAGAGCTGCAGATACCTACATTTACACTAATAATTTACACTAATAATTTACAATAATATTTAACAATAATATTTACAGTCACAAGGCCACAGTTGCCTTCATTTAGGATGGAAGACACCTTTAAGATCACCGAGTCCAACCATAACCTGGATACTGCCAGGTCCACCAAAATGACCAGTTCATTCCCAGCTGGAATATTTTGGATGGAGTTTTCTCCCTTTTTTTTTTTTTTTTTTTTTTTTTTTTTGTGTGTTTATAAACAGGTTGTGCTTTTCCTCAGTTTCCTATTTGAAATAATGCTGGATTTGACTTTATGATACTGAACTGGGATGAGGGAATACTGGACACGTGCTGGTGGTGGGATCCTGGTTTTTTACAGGATAAAAGCTGCTTTTAGAGTCCATTTCCACCATTTATATCCATGGTTTTGTATTCCTACTGTGCTTTTTTAGCTGCCCACAGACACTGGGAGAACCACTCAGAGCTTCTGCTTTAAATTCCCAGATTCCATATCATAGAATTTGAATGTGGAATGAATGCCTTTGGATAATGAACCTGCCTGAGTGCTTAGAAATAATAATGCCTCAGAGTCTGGATTTTACTCCTGATATTGGAAAAAAAATGTGGCTGCTGGCCATATTCCAGTGCAATTCACTTAATTTTCACACTGTGGAATATTCCTGTTCTGCCAGTTAATTGTGTTGAATTTCATAGCAGCTGCATATATAATACCAAAAAAATGCAAATTCATTTGTAGAATTATTGGGCTACAAAAAACACAGAATAAACCTCATTGGAGGGGCAGCCCCCAGCCTTTTTTACACTTCAGGTCACACAGACTTCACTGAAAACTCCCAAATCGATTCAGCTAAACTTCTTTTCTATGAATTTCCCCAAGGAGCTGTAACATCTTAGGCAGTCTTAGCTTAAATCATTGAGTCCTGAGCTTGGGTTTGAGTGCCAGAATTTATCACAACTTAAAAAAAAGATCAAGTTCCCACCTTCCCCTGAGCCCTGCTGGCTGATTGTGCTCTTCGGGGCAAGATAAAAAATGCGTTATCTCAAGACACGTCTTTTCAGGTGGCAACATCCCAAAGGATTTGACTTTTATCACCCCCGGGGCAGCAAGTGCACAGCATTTATTGAAATTATTGTTATTATTATTGTGTTCTGCTCTGCAGGAGGAGGAAGGGAGGAGGGCACACCCCGGACCTGAGCAGGCAGGCGGCCGAGAGGAAGAAGAGAGGAGGTCGTGGATCCACTCAGCTCCGGAAGGTGACATCCCTGGCAAGTGTCACTAGGGTGGGATTCCAGCACCTGGGGAGGTGTCAGGCACCCCCAGGGATGGTGGAGCTCGGAGATTTTCCCTCAGGGAAACACCTGGGCAGGAGGAGGACACCAAACTCCCTCCCCATGGCTGGCTGCTCTGAGGGGATCTCGCTGCATCCCAGACATCGCTGTGGGTGGGAAAGGGACAGCACTGTCAGCACTGCAGTGACCCTGTTATATATCCTCTCCTCTACCCCCAAAAATCCCTTTTCATGCTTTTTACAAAGTGCTGCCACAGTTCTTTTACGACTCTTGCATCTCTTCCCAAAATTTCACAACTTTGGATCGCCGCGGTTCAATGTTCGTTCGTCCTGCGCGCCCTGAGCCCGAGCAAAGCAGCGCCAAACCTTAACACTGAGAGCTCTTTGTGCTCAGGGCTGCTAAAATAGGACATCCTCCCATGACAGGAGCCCAGGGAAGTCATTCCAGAAAGTTCCACGGCCTTTGTGGCTCTGGAAACAAAGAAGAGCCAGGAGAAGGCCGTGGTGCTCAGCAGCGTGTCGGGGTTCTGGGAGCAGACCTGGCGTTCCCCGAGCACGGAGGGCAGGGAACGCCTGGGAGCCGTGCTAAAAAAGGGTTACAGAAAAGAGAGGCATTGTCTCCCAGATGGGGAGGCATCCTCCTGACCCAAATACAGCCTTGCGTGCAAGGAAATTGATTCTGGCACTGTTAGAGCACAGAAAATATTATTCAGCCTCTGTCTTAGGGCTTGCGCTCTCTGCAGATAAATGTCCTCACACTCTCGGGTCTTAACTTCTTTTTGCCAGGCTCAGGATTAAATGCTAGAGATGGTATTTCTTGTTCGGACTCAGAACTTTATTAGTTCTTACCTATTTTACAGTCTCACAAGCAGTGAGTTCTGCAGCACTTCACTAACAAGCTAAAAATGGAGCCCCATCTCTCTCTCTACAAGGCCTTTTAAGGATAAACTGTTCAATTAAGGAATGACACGTAAATTATTTTTACTTTTAACCCAATAACCAACCACCCATGGCCTACAATGTGGACTTTTTTATCCAATTGCACAAAACCACCCAAACCTGTGAAGAAGAAGGTCAAGAAGAAGAACCAGCCTCTGCCCCAAACCCTCCATCTTGCTTTATATATATTACTATATTCTAAATCCTTAAACTAAGTTTTCCACCCTGTGATATTACACACTTCTATTCAAACTGCACTCCCACAATCCCAGTTCAATAATTCAGTTTTGGAAGCTTTCTCAACAGCCCCAGGTCAAATGCAGTGTTCTCTTGGGGGTCAGTGCCAAAAAGTTACAGGATTTCTCAGCAGCCAGGGTTCCAACAGCCCACCACAACTTCCCAATTTTGAGTTGTTTTATTGCCAGGCCAGCAGTGGAAGGATCTCAGCAGAGAGCAAAAAAATCAGTGAATTTGGTTTTCTTTCCCTGGATTTTAGGAAAGTTATGTGATCTTCAAGTTAATTAACCTGCAATCCCAATCAGGAAGCATTTAAGTAATAAAGAATCAGAGAATCACGGAATTGTTGAAGTTCAAAAAGATCTTTAAGATCATCCAGTCCAATCATTCCCTGCCACCACTGATCTGTGTCCCCAAATGTCACTTCCATATGGATTTTTAATCCCTCCAGAGAAGGGGACTCCACTGGAGCCCTGGGCAGCTGTGCCAGGGCTGGGCAGCCATAAGTGAACACTAAAAACAATAAAACCGAGGTTAAACCAGGCTGATGCATAAGGAAAAAAAAATAAAAATATAAATATAAATCTCTGGGCATAATCCAAAATTAATTTCCATCTCTTATTAAAGGTAGCATTGGGAAACCTGGTTGAAATGAAAGGCCTTTGAAAAGGCTCCTATTTAATCAAGTCTAAATAAAGAAGCTTAATGTGCAAATCTTTCAGCAAATCCTTAGAAGAAGAATAGCCTGGGATGAAAGATTAAATGCCCAAGGCGAGCAAACACTGAGTCAAATTAAAATGAAACCCTCAAACAGATCAATGATCCAAGTGCAGAGTGCAGGTGAGAACAAAGAATATTCCAGCCAACAATGAAGATGTAAAAAGGGGTTATTAGATGGAGCTCCCAGCTCAGGAGGCTCAACCAAAATAAGAATAAACACCTAATTAAGGGCACATCCACTGGCTCCACGTTTCCACGTGGTGAATGAGAAAACCTGGGAGGGTTTGGAGTGTGTTACTAATAATGGAAAGCAGAAAATGTGACCAGGCTCGCTCTTTATTTGAAATAAATTAAAGTTAATTGGCCCAATTAGAATAAAGAGTAAATTACAGTGAATGGAGTTAATTAGGTTTCCAATGAGGGGCCACGTTGGAACCCCCAATCTGTGCAGGGGAGCAGGGAATTCCTGCCCCCTCTTTATCCAGGGAAAGGCTTTGAGGACACTCCAAGGGTGACCTGGAGCTGTGATTCCTGAGCTCAGCACCCTTCCCACGAGTCCTTCCCAGGAAATTCCCAGATATTTTATAGGGAAGGTCAAACTGGGGGGGTCAATGTCAGCAACGCGGGGCTGGCTCTGCCTCTGTCTGCTCCAGACACTGCCCCACCCTCACAGCTGCTCCCAAATTATTTTTAGCCTTCTAAAAATTATTTTTAGTCCTTAAATAACTTCTTTTTGAGAGGATCAGTCATCCCTGCCTCGCTGCCTGTGTCCTAAGGTAATGAGATTGTAGGATTTGAAGGCAGGAGTGCATTTTTTTCCATGGAATTTTGATGGGGAATTGATGTTCTGAGTCAAAATTCCATTTCTAGGAGGTGGGAAAAGCTGACAGGAAAATCCAGGATTCCCAGCACATGGTCCTGTGCAATGTATATTTATATTTTATAAACCTCACTTTGAATTTTCTTTATTCGACATAATAATGTTTGTTCTCTATTTTTACCAAATATCTTGGATCAGTCAAAAAAAACCCCAAAAAACCAAAAAAACCCCAAACCAAACAACAACAAAAAAAACCCCAAACAAACAAACAAACAAAAAACAACAAAACCCAGAAAAACCCCAAGCTGTTCTTTTCCAGAATCTAGTGATTTTTTTTTAATTTTTTAGGATTTTTCTCAAGGAATAAACTGGGTTATTAAGATTTTTTTTCCTTGGCTTACTTTTTAGACTAAATAAAAGTTAAAATAAACTTCATCCTTTACACTTTTGAGTCTTTGAACACTGAGCAAGATTGGGGACATCCACAAGGGAGAATTTGGGCATTAACATATTAATTGTTGTGGAGAATTAATTAATGTGGGTTTAGCTTTGCTGGCACCAATTTCTAATTGGGTCCTTCTGTCCTTAAGGCACCACAACACAGCTCAAATAAAGCAAATTATGGCTTTATTTTTTGGGAATATCATTAAGGGATATCATTTAGGAATAAAATTTATAGAATAGATATTTATTGCCTTCCCCATCCCAGTTATCCCTCTCTGCAGATCCTGAGCCTGTCCCAAAGCCACCGGTTCGTCCCAGCTGGGCCAGACCTCCCCAGAGCGGGGCCCTGCCCGCCAAGGCGCTGGCCCAGAGCTCCCGCTGGAACGCCGGGATCCGCCCGGGACCCGTCCGAGCGCCGAAACCGCGGCACAGAGGGGCTGGAGATGCCACCAGGGGGGACACCAGGTCCCCGTGTGAGTGCGGTGTCCTGTCCTTGGGGAGGCTGCTCTGGAGACAGCACCCAAATCAGGGTGGAATCAGGGAATCATGGAATGGTTTGGCTGGGAAGGGACTTTAAATCCCATCCAGTTCCACCCCCTGCCATCTTCTGCTGTCCTGGGGTGCTCCAAGCCCCTCCAAGCTTCCAGGGATCCAGGGGCAGCCACAGCTTCTCTGGGAATTCCAGCCCAGCCCTTCCCCACTGGCCCAGCCAGGAATTTCTTCCCAAATCCCCCCCAAATCTCCCCTTTCCCAGCGGGAAGCCATTCCCTGCGTCCTGCCTCTCCATCCCGTGTCCCAAGTCCCTCTCCATCTCTCCTGGGGCTGCTCTTGGGGGTGGAAGACAAGGACGTGCTCTGGATGGCGGGAACCCAGGGAATCCAGAGCACAGGGTTTCCAAAAACAAGGAGGCAGAGTGACACGATCCCAAACAATCTGATGCCATTTCAGTCTGGGATAGGCTTTGGAAGCTCTTCCTGGTGCATCCCGAAGCTGCTCGGGGTCAGGAGCCTGCTGGGAAAGCCTTTTTGGGGTCTTTGGGAAGTCCTGGTGGTTCACCCGGGGATTGTCACTGTGAGGGTTTCAATCTTTGACCCCCTGGTGCCAAAATGGTGAAGAACCTGGAGGGAACAAAGGAAAAGAGGATTTTGATGGAATGCTGTTGGGATTTTCGGGGTAGAGTGATGTGAGATCCTACAGGTAAATGATTATCCAGTAATTATTGGTGATCCCATCTAGATGAGAGATCATGGAGCACGTGGAGACCTCCAGGATCCCTTTGGATCTGCCAAACCTTGCTTTTTTAGCAGATCCATGGGTTAATCTCCACAAGGAGGATCCACAGTGCAAACCAGCAATCCCAAATCCTTGTGACAACATAAAGGATCCAAGAAAGAGACCAGGAAAGCTCTGGAATGCTTGGATTGGGCTGAATTAGGGATTGGATTTAAATTGATATTAGGAAAAATTCCTTCACTGGAAGGGTTGTCCAGCCCTGGCACAGCTGCCCAGAGCATGGGTGGAGTCCCCATCCCTGGAGGGATTTAAAATCCATGTGGATATGGCACTTGGGGACATGGATCCATGGTGGCCATGGCAGTGCTGGGGCAATAAATGGACTTGATGGTCTTGAAGAACTTTCCCAACCTTAACAATTCCATTATTCCATGAATGATGCCTAGGGAAAACACAAGTAGGAAGCAGAACATAAACACATCCTGGCCATAAACTCATCCTGGCCATAAAAACAGCAGGATCAGGCTGGAAAATCCCATTCCCTCATGGTGCTGAAGCCATACAAGGTTTCCATAAAAAAGACCCCTGATCTTGGAATCCCATGACCTGGATAAAGTTGGGAATGGGGAGAAGGTGTTTGAGTCTCTCTGAACTTTTCCATGAGGAGAATTCCATTCTCTCATGTCAGAGAGGATGTGGGAGAACGGGGATTCCTGCAGGGATGTGATGTCCCAGGGGATGGGACATGGAGGATACTGGGACAGGCTGGGATGTGCCAAATCCCATTCCAGCTGCATCCAGGAAAATGAAAAGCTGTGGAAGGGAAAGGGGTTAGGAGGGAAAGGATCTACCCACGCCACTGCTGAGGTAAATGATCCTTGAGGGGTTGTACCTGGATTCAAGGCAGTTTTGCAAGGAAAATCTGTGGTTTTGGGGGTTTTTTTTGTGTCAGAGAGGGACAAATCCTCTCGTAATTCCCTCAGTGACCTCTCCCAGGCCTCTGTGAACTCTGCCAGGCTCTTCCCAAAGTAAACATCCCAGTTTTGGATCCTGCTCCAGCTGGGCTTTGCCAGGCCGTGTTTGCAGGTTGTCAGGAAGGGACAGAAAAAGGGAAAATGCTTTGATTGATGATTATTTACCCTATAATGAGATCACGAGCAGGAATAATCTTCCCACTCAATCCAGATTTGGAAATGTATTTGAGGTATTAAATGCCACAAAAATCCCAGGGACTGGCTGAGCACTTAAATACATTTAGAACCTGAATTCTCTGAGTTAATCTGAATTCTCTAAATTGGTCTGATTTTTATCATTTCTCTCTCAATGCAGCACCTCCTCTGTTTGAGGCTCAGCCCTGGCACATTCCTTCATCCAACCAAGGATCCGACACGGAATGAGGGAGGATCCACAGCATCCTTCATCCAAGCAGAACAAAAATTTATCCCCCTGGCTCTGGGGAAACGACAGGAAAGTTCCTGCTGGCTTTGGGATCTGAACCTGTCTTCCTCTAGCTGGTGCTACATTCCCTTTTCCTTTTGGGCACACCTGGAATTTTGACCATGAGAAGCTTCCTTAGATCCTTGAGCTGCTGGATCTCATGGGAGGTTTCCTGTGGATCATTTGGACATCCTGGGGCACATCCCATGGAAAACCTGGAGACAGAATTCCTTTCTCACATTAAAGCAATTCCATCTTTTCCGTTGTGACAGTGAGAAGGAAATCAAATCCAATGCTCTGGATTTGCACATGGATCCACGAGGAGCTGGAATTTAAGAAATTGGGAATCCCATGCTCTCTCTCTCTCTCTCTCATTGGTCTCTCGAGTAACTCCCACAGAACTCCATTTACCAAGCACTTAGAGTGAGTTTTGTGTTTTTTCATCCAGGCAGCATTTCCTCTCTGCTCACAGGTAGGTTCGTGACCCACCAGAATCCAGGGATTGACCAGGATGCCACCAGGAAGGAGATTTGGGAGCTGCTGCCATCAGCAAGGACCTGGCAAACAGCAAAACCAAACAGTTGTCAGTTCCCCAAACAGGAACCGAGGAAATCCCTGTCTCCAGAAGCTCATGTGAGTTTTAGAAGTTGTTGGATATTCACAGAAGAATCCCGAGCTGATTTTACAGGATTGATGCAGAAGTTGGGATGCAAGAGACCCAGGGAGACACCAGGTCCAACCTCCTGCTTTAAGCAGAGTCAGATCTGGGATCATCCCACGCTGCTGAGGGCTCTAAGGCTTCCAAATCCTCCCAAGGAGGAGAGGGCACAACTGCTGTGTGTGGGAATCGTGACACTTCGGGAATCACGGAAAATCCTGCGCTGGAAGGATCATCAAATCCAACTCTGCACAGACACCCCAAAAATCCCTCCCTGGGAGCGTTGTTCTGGAGCCTTGGGAACACCAACATTCTCTGGGGATCCTGTTCAGTGCCCCACCCTTTAGGGAAGAACCTTTTCCCAATAAACCTTTTCCAAATAAACCTTTTCCCAATATCCAGCCTCCCCCTCGGCTGTGCTGGGTTTGCATCCCGGGACGCCCTCAGCGTCTCCCCCCTCAAACATCCCGTTCCCCTTCTCTGATCCCTCCTCCGTGCACTCCCCGGGAACCCGTGGGTCTCCAGGAGGGATTTTTCTCTTTTTGTCAGGAAAACCCAGCCGGTTTTTCCCTCCTGGAATCGATGTTTTGCTACCACCTAGCGCTGAGGGGGCGCGGCCTCCTCAGGCCCGCCTGGTTCCTCTCAGGGCGGATCCCAACACCAGCGGGAATTTGGGAACGAGACCCCAGGGAAAAACTGGATTTTAAGGGGGAATTAGGATGATCCTACTACTCGGAATTTCAGAAATTTTCCCTTTTTTAATAGTTTTTTTCCTCCTAGAGTCGATGTTTTGCTTCCATCTAGCACTGAGGGGGCACGGCCTCCTCATGCCCCATCGTTCCCCTGATCACAGCACCAGCGGGAATTTGGGAACGAAATCCCGGGGGAAAACTGGATTTTGACGGGGAAATAGGATGATCCCACTACTGAGAATTTCAGAAATTGTCCCTTTTTAATAGTTTTTTTCCTCCTAGAGTCGATGTTTTGCTACCATCTAGCGCTGAAGGGGCACGGCCTCCTCAGGTGCGCGAGGTTCCCCTCAGGACGCATCGCAGCGCCAGTGGGAATTTGGGAACAAAACCCCGGGAAAACTGGATTTTAACGGGGAAATAGAACTATGCTATTATTGTGAATTTCAGAAATTGTCCCTTTTAAACTGGTTTTTCCCTCCCGGAGTCGATGTTTTGTTGCTATCTAGCCCTGAGGGAGCGCAGCCTCCTCAGGCCCGAGTGGTTCCCCTGAGGGAGGATAAAAGCACCAGTACGAATTTGGGAACGAGATCCCGGGGGAAAACTGGATTTTAAGGGGGAAATAGGATGATCCCACTACTGAGAATTTCAGAAATTGTCCCTTTTAAATCACCAGCTGTAAGAACAGCCACAAGGATGTTTTTATATCCTGGGAATGCTGTGTCCCAGTCCTGGGACAGGAGGGATGTGGAGCTCCTGGAGCAACTCCAGTAAAGATGAGGAAGGGCCTGGAGCTTTTCCCTGGCCAGGAGAGGCTGAGGGAGATGGGGCTGTTCAGCCTGGAGAGGAGATAAATGAGAGGGAACCTCATCCCTGGGTGTCCTTGTGTGCAGGGAGGGCTCAGAGCAGGGCCAGGCTCTGCTCCCGGCCCAGCAATGGCACCAGAGCCACGGGCAGGGAATGATCCCAGCAATTCCACTTGGACATGAGGAAGAATTTCTGCCCTGGGCAGTGCCCAGCCCTGAGGCTGTGGAGTCTCCTCTCTGGGATATTCCAGACTTGTCTGGACACACTCCCGTGCCCTGTGCTCTGGGATGGCCCTGCTGGATGGAGCAGGGAGGTGGCACCAGGGACCCTCTGGGGTCCCGTCCAGCCCGACCCATCCTGGGGCTCTGAGAATCTGCAAATTTGGGATTCTGTGGGGGTGTGAGCCTGGGATTCTGTGATCGCCTGAGTCCGTGGGTTTGTGATTTATGAGTCTGTGATTCCTTCATTCTGTGATTCTGTAATGCCATGATTCTCTCATTCTGTAGTGGTTTTTGTGAGACTGTAATTCCATGATTCCGTGTTTCTGTGAGTCTGTGATTCCATGATTCTGTGAGTCTGTGATTCCATGAATCTGTGATACTGTGAATCTGTAATTCCGTGATTCTCTAATTCTGTGAGACTGTGAATCCATGATTCTCTGATTCTATGAGTCTGTAATTCCATGATTCTCTGATTCTCTAATTTTGTAATTCCATGATTCTGTAATTTGTAATTCCATGATTCTCTAATTCTTTGAGACTGTAATTCCATGATTCTCTAATTCTTTGAGACTGTAATTCCATGATTCTGTCATTCTATGAGTCTGTGATTCTGTAATTCTGTAATTCTGTGAATCTGTAATTCCATGATTCTGTCATTCCATGATTCTGTGAGTCTGTCATTCCATGATTCTGTCATTCTGTGAGTCTGCCATTCCATGGTTCTCTGATCCTGTGGTTCCGTGACTCTGTGACTGGTTCTGTAGTTCAGTGATTTTGTGTGTCTGCCATTCTGGGATTCTGGGAGTCTCTGAATCCGTGTCTTAGTGATTCCATGATTCTGTGATTGAGGCTGAGGCTCTGTAATTCTGTGATTCCACCACCCTGCAATTCTGGGATTCTGAGACTCCATGATTCCATCTTTCTACAGTTCTGAGACTCTTGAGATTCCATGATTCCATGATTCCATCACTCTACTCTCTGAGTCTGTGATTCCATGATTTTGTGATTTTTGACTCTGTGGTTCTGAGATTCTTTGATTCCATGATTCCATAGAGCATTCCATCGCTCTACAGTTCTGGGATTCTGGAGCCTGTGATTCCATGGTTTTGTGATTCTGACTGTGGCTCTGAGATTCCATGATTCCATTGCTCTACAGTCCTGGGATTCTCTGAGCCTGTGATTCCATGATTTGTGATTTTGACTCTGTGAGATTCTGTGATTCCATGGTTCCATCACTTGACTCTCCGAGCCAGTGATTCCATGATTTTGTGATACTGAGATTCTGTGACTCTGAGATTCTGTGATTCCATGATTCCATGACTCTCCAGGTCTGGGATTCTCTGAGCCTGTGATTCCATGATTTGTGATTCTGCCTCTGTGAGATTCTGTGATTCCATGGTTCCACGGCTCTGCAGTTCTGGGATTCTGGGAGCCTGTGATTCCATGATTTGTGATTCTGCCTCTGTGAGATTCTGTGATTCCATGGTTCCACGACTCTACAGTTCTGGGATTCTCTGAGCCTGTGATTCCATGATTTTGTGATTTTGACTCTGTGAGATTCTGTGATTCCATGGTTCCACGGCTCTACAGTTCTGGGATTCTCTGAGCCTGTGATTCCATGATTTTGTGATTCTGACTGTGACTGAAATTCCATCATCCTCTGATTCCACATTCTACACTTCTGAGACTCTGTGACTCTCTGACACTGTGATTTAGTGATCCTGTGACCCTGATTCCTCGGTTCCCTAATTCCATGATTCCTTGATTGATTCCTTGATTGATTCCTTAATTGATTCCTTGATGGATTCCTTGATCCGCGCGACTGCCTTCACCGGACACCACAACTTTCCACAAACTCCATCCAACCGAGCATCTCAACGTGAGCGGCAGGGGCAGGAGGACAGGGGGACCCCAAACCCCCTCCCCAAACCTAGGGGGACCCCCAAAACCCGGGATTTTCCCCCAAAAAACCCGAGTTGGGGGGGGGGGGGGAGGTCCCCGGTTCCCCTCCGTGCGGTTTCAGCGCCCCCTGGTGGCTGACGGCGGAACGACACACCCATTTTGCTGCACTACGCTTTACGGCGCTTTCGCGGCGGCACGGGGCGGTGTTGCTTTACGGCAGCGCGGCGCGCCAGGCCGCGGGATCCGCCAGGATGAAGCAGAAAAGGAAAAATGGGAAAGGTAAAAAAAGAATAAAAAGAGACCTGAGGGGCTGGAGCGTGTCCGGGAGAGGGAATGGAGCCGGGACACGGGCGGCTGAGGGGCTGAGCCTGGAGAAAAGGAGGCTGAGGGGGCCGTTGTGGCTGTGCACAGCTCCTGGCAGGAGGGGACAGCCGGGGACGGGCTGAGGGGAAACGGCCTCAAGCTGTGCCGGGGGACGCTTAAATTAAATAACAGCAGAGATTTCCTCCCTTAAAGGTCTATCCAGCCCTGGCACAGCTGCCCAGGGCCGCGGTGGAGTTTTTATCCCGGAGGGATTTCAAATCCCCGTGGATGTGGCGCTGGGGACGCGGGCTGGAATTGGGAATGGTTGGACTCCGTGCTCTTTGCAGCCTGAGCGATTCCAACCCAGCCATTCCAGGAATTTCAGGCTGGGCTGTGACGAGCAGGAAAATCTCTGATTTTCCCCCGTTTTTTCCCCGTTGCCGGCGCAGGGGAGCTGAGCCAGGCCGAGCTGATGGTGATGACCATCGCTGACATCATAAAGCAGCTCCTGGAGGCTCACGAGCAGGGAAGGGACGTGGATCTCAACAAGTGAGTGCCTCATTTTCACACCCTGTTCTGGTAATAAACCCACCAAGATCGGTAAATTCTGGGCTGAGTCTCAAGTGGGTGGGATTTTCTGAAAAACTCCAAGAAACTTTCATTGCCTTTTTTACCCCCCCATTCCTCACTAGTCCCAAATCCACCTGGGGAAGGAGACATTAATATAGAAATAACATTAAATCAGATTTTTTTAGCAATTTTGTTTGCAGAAACTTGTTTGTTCTTCACATTTGTGGAGCAAGAAAACCTGAATTTGTTCTTTACAGAAACATTTCCCTTCTTTATTTATCTGGAATAAGAAACCCTACATTTGGTATTTATAGAACTTTTTTTCTCCTTTATTTATGTGGAGGAAGAAATCCTGAATTTGTTATTTACAGGAATTCTTCCTCATTTATTTATGTGGAGAAAAAAATCATTTGAATTTGTTGTTTACAGAAATTTTTTCCTCCTCTATTTGAGTGAGAAATCCTGAATTTGTTATTTATAGGAATTTCTTTCTGCTTTATTTATGTGGAGTAAGAAATCCTGAATTTGTTGTTTACATGAATTTCTTTCTCTTAATTTATTTAAGTGGAGTAAGAAAACATGAATTTGATGATTACAGAAATTCCTTCATCCTTTATTTAAGTGGAGCAACAAAACTTGATTTTATTGTTTATGTGAATTTCTTCCTCTTAATTTAAGTGGAGTAAGAAAAGCTGAATTTTTGTTTACAGAAACTTTTTCCTTCTCTATTTATGTGAAATAAGAAACCCCAATTTTGGTATTTATAGAATTTTTTTCCTGCTTTATTTATTGGGAGTAATAAAACCTGAATTTATTGTTTGCATGAATTTCTTCCTCTTTATTTATTTACATGGAGGAAGAAATCCTGAATTTGTTCTTTATAGAAATTTCTTCCTCCTTTATTTATTGGGAGTAATAAAACTTGAATTTGTTCCTTACAAAAATTCCTTCTTCCTTTGTTTATGTAAAGCAAGAAAACCTGAATTTTCCTCACTTTTTCCACTTTATTGACATAATTATAAACTTTTTCCTGGAAATTCCTGCCTTGGAGGTGAGCTCAGCTCCAGGCTGGATGTGTAGGGTTAAACACATGAATTAATCACCACCAGGAATAAAACATCAATCCAGAATTATCCCTGAAAATGGATCAGCAGGAGCCTTTCCTGCACAAAATCAGGATGAAACCAAATTTAGGGGGAAAACACAGAAAACAAAAACCATGGGCAGCTGTGAGTTGATTTTTGGTGTTCCCACACCCCCTGCAGCTCATTGTGTTTCATCCTTCTGCCTGGAGAGCAGAACTGCCAGAATCTCTGTGGCAGAGATGAAAAGGAGAGCAGGTTTTGATGATTTTGCTGTTTTTTGGTGATTTTGGGTGTTTTTGATTTGAATATCAAAACCTCAGCCAGGCACAGGCAGCTGTGAGGTCATTTTTGGTTTTTCCACACCCCCTGCAGCTGGTTGTGTTTAGTATTTCTGCCTGGAGGAGCCTGTCTGGATCTCTGTGTGGCACAGAGGGAAAGGAGGGCAGGTTTTGGGTGTTTTTTGGTGGTTTTGGGTGTTTCTGGTTGAAGACCCAACCCTCAGCCAGGGAGGGGCGGCTCTGAGTTGATTTTTGGTGTTTCCACACCCCCTGCAGCTGGTTGTGTTTAGTATTTCTGCCTGGAGGAGCCTGTCTGGATCTCTGTGTGGCACAGAGGGAAAGGAGGGCAGGTTTTGGGTGTTTTTTGGTGGTTTTGGGTGTTTCTGGTTGAAGACCCAACCCTCAGCCAGGGAGGGGCGGCTCTGAGTTGATTTTTGGTGTTTCCACACCCCCTGCAGCTGGTTGTGTTTAGTATTTCTGCCTGGAGGAGCCTGTCTGGATCTCTGTGTGGCACAGAGGGAAAGGAGGGCAGGTTTTGGGTGTTTTTTGGTGGTTTTGGGTGTTTCTGGTTGAAGACCCAACCCTCAGCCAGGGAGGGGCGGCTCTGAGTTGATTTTTGGTGTTTCCACACCCCCTGCAGCTGGTTGTGTTTAGTATTTCTGCCTGGAGGAGCCTGTCTGGATCTCTGTGTGGCACAGAGGGAAAGGAGGGCAGGTTTTGGGTGTTTTTTGGTGGTTTTGGGTGTTTCTGGTTGAAGACCCAACCCTCAGCCAGGGAGGGGCGGCTCTGAGTTGATTTTTGGTGTTTCCACACCCCCTGCAGCTGGTTGTGTTTAGTATTTCTGCCTGGAGGAGCCTGTCTGGATCTCTGTGTGGCACAGAGGGAAAGGAGGGCAGGTTTTGGGTGTTTTTTGGTGGTTTTGGGTGTTTCTGGTTGAAGACCCAACCCTCAGCCAGGGAGGGGCGGCTCTGAGTTGATTTTTGGTGTTTCCACACCCCCTGCAGCTGGTTGTGTTTAGTATTTCTGCCTGGAGGAGCCTGTCTGGATCTCTGTGTGGCACAGAGGGAAAGGAGGGCAGGTTTTGGGTGTTTTTTGGTGGTTTTGGGTGTTTCTGGTTGAAGACCCAACCCTCAGCCAGGGAGGGGCGGCTCTGAGTTGATTTTTGGTGTTTCCACACCCCCTGCAGCTGGTTGTGTTTAGTATTTCTGCCTGGAGGAGCCTGTCTGGATCTCTGTGTGGCACAGAGGGAAAGGAGGGCAGGTTTTGGGTGTTTTTTGGTGGTTTTGGGTGTTTCTGGTTGAAGACCCAACCCTCAGCCAGGGAGGGGCGGCTCTGAGTTGATTTTTGGTGTTTCCACACCCCCTGCAGCTGGTTGTGTTTAGTATTTCTGCCTGGAGGAGCCTGTCTGGATCTCTGTGTGGCACAGAGGGAAAGGAGGGCAGGTTTTGGGTGTTTTTTGGTGGTTTTGGGTGTTTCTGGTTGAAGACCCAACCCTCAGCCAGGGAGGGGCGGCTCTGAGTTGATTTTTGGTGTTTCCACACCCCCTGCAGCTGGTTGTGTTTAGTATTTCTGCCTGGAGGAGCCTGTCTGGATCTCTGTGTGGCACAGAGGGAAAGGAGGGCAGGTTTTGGGTGTTTTTTGGTGGTTTTGGGTGTTTCTGGTTGAAGACCCAACCCTCAGCCAGGGAGGGGCGGCTCTGAGTTGATTTTTGGTGTTTCCACACCCCCTGCAGCTGGTTGTGTTTAGTATTTCTGCCTGGAGGAGCCTGTCTGGATCTCTGTGTGGCACAGAGGGAAAGGAGGGCAGGTTTTGGGTGTTTTTTGGTGGTTTTGGGTGTTTCTGGTTGAAGACCCAACCCTCAGCCAGGGAGGGGCGGCTCTGAGTTGATTTTTGGTGTTTCCACACCCCCTGCAGCTGGTTGTGTTTAGTATTTCTGCCTGGAGGAGCCTGTCTGGATCTCTGTGTGGCACAGAGGGAAAGGAGGGCAGGTTTTGGGTGTTTTTTGGTGGTTTTGGGTGTTTCTGGTTGAAGACCCAACCCTCAGCCAGGTACAGGCAGCTCTGAGTTGATTTTTGGTGTTTCCACACACCCTGCAGCTGGTTGTGTTTAATTCTTCTGCCTGGAGAGCAGAACTGGGGGATCCTGCCAGCATCTGTGGGAGGAAAGGAGGACAGGTTTTGATGATTTTGGTGATTTTGGGCGTTTCTGGTTGCAGGCTGAAGACCAAAACCTCGGCCAGGTACGGGCTGTCGGCGCAGCCGCGCCTCGTCGACATCATCGCGGCCGTGCCGCCGCAGTTCCGGAAGGTTCTGCTGCCGAAGCTCAAGGCCAAGCCCATCAGGACGGCCAGTGGGGTGAGACAAAAGGATTTCCCCTCCTTCCCCCACACCCTCCCTGCTCCCAGCCCAAAATTTGGGTTTAATCCCCACCCAAAACCAGTGGCGGCGTTGCCTTTTGCACAGGGAGAAATTTGGGGGTTTTCCTGTGGTTGCTGCATCCCTGGAAGTGTCCAAGGAAAGGCTGGAGCACCCTGGGATAGGGGAGGGTGTTGGGATTGGGATTTAAGGTTCTTCCAATCCAAAATATCCTGAGATTCCCTGAGGATAAAGGTGGATTGTGTCCACGTCACTTCGGATCTTTTCAGCAGAGCAGTTAATTCAATTTACTGTAAATCACCTAAATCTCCATATCAGACCCCAGTTTATACTGAAACCACCTAATTCTTCATATAGACCCCAGTTTATTCTGAAACAAACTGATTTTTCTTATCAGACCCCAATTTATACTGAAACCACCTAATTCTTCCTATCAGACTCCAGTTTATACTGAAACTACCTAAATATCCATGTCAGACCCCAGTTTATACTGAAATCACTCAATTCTCCATATCAGACCCCAGTTTATACTGAAACCACCTAAACCTCCATATCAGACCTCAATTTGTACTGAAACCACCTAAATCTCCATATCAGACCCCAAATTTATACTGAGACCACCTAAATCTCCATATCAGACCTCAATTTATACTGAAACCACTCAATTCTTTATATCAGACCAAATTCTTTATATCAGACCCCAGTTTATACTGAAACCACCTAATTCTTCATATAGACCCCAGTTTATTCTGAAACAAACTGATTTTTCTTATCAGACCCCAATTTCTACTGAAACCACCTGATTTTTTGTATCAGACCTAATTCTTTGTATCAGACCCCAATTTATTCTGGAGTCACCCAGTTCTCCATATCAGACTCCAGTTTATTCTGAAATCACCTAAATCTCCATATCAGACCCCAATTTGTACTGAAACCACCAAATTTTTTATATCAGACCACTATTTATATTGAAACCACCTCATTTTTCTTGTCAGACCTCAATTTATACTGAAACCACTCAATTACAATTCTCCATATCAGACCCCACATAATTTGTTCATTAATATATTATTTCTTTCTATTATGAAACCTGAGAACATTAAATAACATTTAATATGCTTCATTAAGCATTCCCTTTTCATGCTGGCTTCGTTGTCCCCTTCAAGCCTTAACCCACAGCTATTTTAGCACAAAACATCCCCAAAACACCACCAGAGAAGCCCCCATCCCCCACAACCCTGCAAGAAACTCTTGAATTTTGGTAATTTTGGGGCTAATTGCTGCAATTTCCCTGGCAGATTGCCGTGGTGGCCGTGATGTGCAAACCCCACCGGTGCCCCCACATCAACTTCACGGGCAACATCTGTGTGTGAGTATGGGGGAGAGGCCAGATGTGCCAGATGTGCTCCAGCCTTGGGGACACCTCTGTCCTCCAGGGAAGGGTTTGGGGCACCAGGGGATCATCCTGGACAAAAGGAGGCTCCAGAGGGGATTTTTTCCTCTCTGGAATCTCCAGGTGGGGTTGGAGGGAACAGCCTCTCCCCATTTTTTTAGCTGTTAATACCTCTGGAATTTTATTCATTCCCTTTTGTCTGCAGTGATATCTCCCTAAATTTTTTTGTATTTCCAAAATCTTTCCTCCCTGTTGTCTGGAGAAAGTTTAACAGCAGTTTGGGACTGAATCATCGTGGTTGGTTTTAACCAAAAATGATGAGAGGGAACAACCTCGAGTTGCACCAGGGGAGGTTCGGGTTGGATTTTGGGAACAATTCCTGCCTGGAAAAGGTTTCCCATCCCTGGAGGGATTCCAGATCCCTGTGGATGTGGCACTTGGGGATGGCTGGGCTGGATGCTCTCAGAGGTCTTTTCCATCTTTTCTGGGATCCCATCAGCCAAAATTTCCTTTTTCCAGCATTCCTGGATAACCCCAGTGCTGCAGGAGCAGCCACACCACACCAAAATCTGCTTTTTTTCACCTGTTCCTCAAGACAGAAAATCTCCTCCTTTCATGACCCAAACCCACCCTTCCATATTCCCTTCCCACCTCTGTGATTATTAATTTATTATTTTATTAATTAATTTATATTAATTTTCTTGGGCTTCCAGCTGTCAAAATCTCCTGGAATCAGCTCAGTTTTATTCAAATCAAAGAACAAGAGCTTGGCTTATCTTGAATTCTCTTCCTCATTTTGACTCCATTCCCTCGAAATCTGATTTTGGCCATGCTTTTCCCATATTTTCATTTATTTCCAAGCATTCCCTGCCATGAATCCATGAAATTTTCCAGGTAATTCCATGTCTAAAACAGCATGGGCAGCACAAACTCTTTGCCAACAAATTAATGTGGGCATGGTGATTTAATAATTAATTTATAATTAATTTTATAACGATGCTGGATGACTCGGGGTGAGCTGGAAGTGAGGAAATAAATAATTATCAGGGAATAAAATATCAATTATCCCAAACAGGGCTGATTGGTGGAGGTGGGATCTGCTCCATCAGGAGAATTCCCTGGATGCTCCCTCACCTTTTCTGCTGCAGTTGAAGGAGTCTGGAGTATTTTGTTTATTTTGTTTTTTAAACAACACATCCCTAAGCTCAGGAAAAAAAAAAAAAAAAACAAAAAACACAACTGAGCTTTCTCAATATCGAAATATTAAAATTCCCTAAATTTCTGAAAAAGTGGATGGGTGATATTTCAATTTTACATCTCTCCATGCCAAAAAAAAAATCATGTTCTGCATGGAATAAAGTGATGCTCTTGAGAGAATCATGGAAAACATTCAAATTGTGAAATTATTTTTTTAAAAATCAATTAATCTGCTTGTAGCTGTTGCCCCAAAACTTTATGGCTGCTCCCTAAAATAATGGAATATCCCAGGAATATTTGCATGGATTTTGCTTCCAGAAAGTCTCACTGGGTTGTTTCAGGTCTGAGTTGGTTTGGGACATCCCATTCTCATTAAAATGAATTCAAATTAATTAAATTTTAATATAAATATCAAATTATTGGAAATTTTCAGAGTCTAATTCCTGTTTTTTACCCTGCAGGTACTGCCCAGGGGGGCCTGACTCTGATTTTGAATATTCCACCCAGTCCTACACAGGATATGAGGTAATGAATTCTTTATTTTTCCCTTTTTTTATTTTTTTTTTTGTTATTCCAACATTCCTTAAGCCTGGCTTTGGTTTAGTCTGGGCTTTATTTCTGCAGCTCACTCGTGTTGCAAGAATAAAACAAAAAATAAATACAAAGATCAAACCAATAAAACCAAATTCAGTTTTCATAAACTTCAGAGTTTAGGAGTGAAATTCTTAATTACAGTAATTACTGATGAGTTAAAATTTTAAAAATTGTGTAAGAAGGATCTTGAAACACAGAGATATGGAGAGGTTCCTACAGGATTAAAAAAAAGTTTAAATTTTGGTTAAAAAACCTCATTTTTAGCTGTTGATGCCTCTGAAATTAAATTAATTCCCTTTTATCTGCAGTGATAAATTGAAATTTTTTGTATTTCCAAACTGTTTCCTCCCTGTTGTCTGGAGAAAGTTTAACAGCAGTTTGGGACTGAATTATTGTGACTGGTTTGAACCAAAAATCTCAAAACTGTGGTAGGGATGTGAAGTAGGAAAATGAGATAAAATCCATTGTTAATTAGGTGAAAATTCCTTTTAAAATAGGAATTTTGTCCGTTCTACCTCAGTGATTTAAATAGGAAAAAAATGAGAAATACCAAGTGAATCCAGGCTACAAAAGGGGCTTGAAAATCCCCTGAAAATATTATTAATGGGCTTCCATCAGCTGGTGGTAGAAAAAAAGAGTTTTTATGGATTTTAATTGAAGGAATAAGTTTAATTTAGGAATATTTGAAACCCAGGCTGGGTGTAGAGGACGCCGCCTGAGTAATTTGTAAAAACACTTTGTGGTTTTTGTAACACTTTTGTGACTCACTGCAGAGGTTTTTTAGCTTGGAGAACACTAAAAATGGAATAATTTTGGTGGGTTTAGGTCACGTTGCCATCTCAGGGTAAAAATGTCGTATTTTTAAAAGGATTTGAGGAGCCAAATCCGTATTTACATTTTTACAGAGCTTTGGTTTGTGGGTTTGGAGGCTTTGGGTCCATCAGGATTTGAAGTTTTCAGCATTTTGGTTTTTTACACTGTTCTTTTTGGGGAGGAAAAAGTCTCTAAAATGAATTTTTTGGTGTTTTTTCAGCCAACATCCATGAGGGCCATCCGGGCTCGCTACGATCCCTACCTCCAGACGAGGCACAGAGTGGAGCAGGTACATTTTTCCTTGGGTTTGAGATGCAAAAAAAAGAGAATTATTTCAATTTCTTGGACTGGTGGGCTGCAAAAATGAAATTAAATTAATACATTAATTAAACTTATGCATTTTCAGTTGTCCAACTCTCATTTCCATTTAAAAAATGGTGAGTTTTGAACCTGTCCTAAGATCTCTGCTGTGCAATAATTTAATAGTGATTCCAAAATTGCTTTATTTGGGGTTTTTTTTGGTGTGAAAAGTTTCTCAGTCCTGTTTTTTGATCAGTTTCCTCTTTATCTCCAAATCCATGGGAAAATTCTCCATGAATTCAGTGTTTTCTCCCTCAAGATTTTGAGGAGAGTTTGTTCTACATGGATTAAAGGAGATTCAAGGAATTTTTTTTTGCCTTTTTGGATCAATTTAGGTCGTTTCAAACTGCAACCTGTAACTCAAATAATTATAATTTTTCAGAATGACACTGTGTTCAATCCCTGCACTGAGTTCTTACAGCTAAAAAATGACTTTTGAGGGTTTTTTTACAAAGGAAAGTGATGATAAAAAACCTATACAAACCCATAAAACAACCAAAAAACGAAACGCGGCTTAAGAAAATCAGGAATCACAGAGAAACCTCGTGGATAAATCCCCAACTGATGGTTTTTCCCGTGATATTTTTAATTTTTCAGCTGAAGCAGCTGGGCCATAGCGTGGACAAAGTGGAATTTATCGTGATGGGTGGGACCTTCATGGCTCTGCCTGAGGATTACAGGGATTATTTCATCAGGAACCTGCACGACGCCTTGTCGGGCCACACTTCCAACAACGTGGCAGAGGCCGTCAGGTGAGGAATCATTTCAGTTTATTCTTTGAAAACCATGAGCAAAATCTTATTTGTTTTTTTATTAAAGGTGTGTTTTTGGGCACTGAGTGTTTCCAGCTCTGCAGAGCAGCGCCAGGCAGACCCCCGGAAGCGCAGGAAAAGCCAAACTTTTCCCCTGATTTTTTTTGGCATTCCAGGCAGCTCTGTCACGCCTCATCACCCTGATTTGGGCTTGTGACGAATGCCACGGCCACGGGATTTATTCTTTATTTATTCTTTATTTATTGCCTGCAGCTGGGGAGGGGGAGCTGCTCCTGCCTGGGACGTCAGGAATGACTCAGCCCCGAGAGCGTCAGCGCTCCCGGCCCCTTCCAGCCCCAAACCAGCTCCTTGGGTGTCACATCCTCGTGGTCTCGTTCAGAAACCACAGCCTGATCCATCCAGGGGCAGGAGATTCTGAATTTTCAGTGCTTGGTGGGCAAAAAAAAAAAAAAAAAAAGAGGTTTGGTGTTTTGGAGTTGTTAAATGAGCGAGCGTCCCTTGGCTGGGTTGGGTTTGCTGCAGTGTCGTTGGGGGTTTTTATTTGTGACATTTTCCACCCCAAGAGGAGTGATTTTAGAGCTGTCACCTCCGACAGAAGTGATTTTAGGGCTTTTGCCTCCAACAGAAGCGATTTTAGAGCTGTCACCTCCAACAGAAGCGATTTTAGAACCAGTCCTTTGTATCTGAAAGCTGCGACTTAATTCGGTTTTTCCTCTGGAGGGCACCAAACACTTCAGCTACTTTTATTTGCCTTTTTTTTTTTTTTTTTTCCCCTCCCACCTCTCGTCGCTCAAAGACCAAACAAAAAAGCACCCTGCTGCTCTTTCCAAGTGGGTTTTATCGAGATAAAATAGCAAACAAGTTGAGCAAAGAGTTTCTGAAGGACACAGCTCCTCGGGGAGGGAGGGTGGTGCTTGCAGATTGTCCATTCAAATTACTGCTGTGATTCACGGTGTGGGAAGTCCATTTTTTTTTTTTTTGCTGCAGGTGTCTTAGCTGATTTTATTGGGCCTAAAATAATTTTTCAAGCTGCCTGGCCTTTGCTCTGCAGATAATAAGGGAACTATTTCTGCCACAGCAATTTTAAAGCCAAAGTCAAAGTGGAGTCAGAGTGGCACAGATGGAGCAGGGTGACAAAAATCCTGCCCTGGCAGCGTGTGGGTTCCTCAGCAGATAAATAAAGGTTTATATTTTTAACACAAAACTCACTCTAAGTGCTTGGTAAATGGAGTTCTGTGGGAGTTACTCGAGTTGCATTTCCTAGGTGCTGGAGAGGTGGAGAAAATGGGGCTGGGGATGAATCAGAGCTTTTGCTTTTTGTGCTCCTGGAGCTCGGCTGTTGCACTGTGTCACTGCAGCGTTGGTTGGGATGGTCAGTGACACTTGAGCTGAACAGCCAGGGTTGAATTGATTTCTTTTTGTGGCCAGGATTCAGCTCCTTCAGCACTTCCAGCAGAGGCTGGGAGGAGTTCAGAGAGAGTTTTCCCTGTTGTGTGCTGTGGGCACTGCACTCAGCAGAGCCCTGGGATCTGAATGGAGTTCTGGAGGTTTTATTTCTTGGGCAAATCTTAATTAAGTTCAGATTTTGTGCAGAGATTGCTTCATGTGGGAAAGGCCCTTCAGCCAGGTGGCTGCTGTTTGCCAGGGCCTTGCTGATGGCAGCAGCTCCCAAATCTCCTCCCTGCTGGCATCCTGGACAATCCTGGATTCTGGTGGGTCACAAACCTGCCTGGATGGAAACACAGGAGTGTGGAGGAGCAGAGAACAGGCAGCAAGGGAAAAACCCACTAAATTACAGATAAAACTGAAGGGAGATGCTGGCAGTGGCCACACGACCTGCTCTGGGGATTTGTGGGATGGTCAGAAACTTTGTTGGAAAACCTCCAGCTGCAGGGGCTGTTGTGAGGGTTTTTGGCACCACTGTCATGACTGAGGAGTTCTGAGAGCGTTTTCCCTGCTGTGTGCTGTGGGCACTGCACTCAGCAGAGCCCTGGGATCTGAGTGGGATTCTGGAGGTTTTATTTATTGGGCAAATCTTAATTTAAGTTCAGATTTGTGCAGAGATTGCTTCATGTGGGAAAGGCCCTTCAGCCCGGAGAGAATCACAGAATCGTGGCATGGTTTGGGTTGGAAGGGACCTTAGTTCATCCCTGCCACTGACAGGGACATTCCACTCTCCCAGCTTGCTCCAAACCCCAATTTTCCCCCTTTTTACCCAGTAATTTCTGGTTTTTGTCCCAACCCCGTGCCCTGCTGTGGCGCTGACAGCGACGTGCTGACCCGACCTGAGGGATCATCAATCTGGCACCCTCCTGCCGACGTAATTTTCAATTTTCTCCTTGTGATGCTTCATCTCCATCAGCCCTCTGAGGCTCCTGGTGCCAGCTAATCTGATAAAAAGGATGTGATTCCGTGCAGTTCCCAGCACAGCCAAAGCCTGTCATGGTGGTGGATCCTGTCCCTCACTGGGACAGCGTAAAGAAATGATCCCTCAAACTAGTTTGGCCCTTGGATTTCACCTGAAATCCCCTGAAATTCTGGTTTTCTTGCAGATAAATGTGTGAAGTCATTGACCAAAAGTGTGGGTTTTGCAAAGATAAACAGGGAAACTTCCAGGCTTTTTCTGTTGAGAGCGGAGGAAGGCAATGAATTCCCTGGGTTTTAATATTTCTGCAGCACCTCCTCCCTTTTGGGGTAATAAACGCTTGTTTACACCCTTCAGACAGAAATCTTTGCTCGAGGTGCTTGGGTTTGCTTGAAAAATAGGGTTTGCTTGAGAAATAGGTTGGCCGAGGAGTGGGTGAAGAATTGCAGAGCCAGGGGGGATCTTTGTTTTTGTGTGCTGAGAGGACTGAGAAGTTTTTAATTTTTCTCACTGAGAGCACCACTGAAGAATTTCTGGACCCTTCTGGGTGCCTGTCAAGCCGGGCTGTGGGCTCGCTGATAAGCTTCCCTTCCTTAGGGGCAGGTTTGCAATTATTAAAGATTTCACAATCGCCAAAGAATCGCTGCAGGATGGATTTTTCTCCCCCTGGAGAAACTCATCTTTGCCCGGGAGCTGCTCCCATCAAGACCCGAGTGTTGAGTTGATTGCGGCTGCTTTTGCTCTTTGCTGAGGACAATCAGAGCCGGAGAAAGGTGTAAAATGCACATGCAAATGAGAATTGCTGCTCCTCTCACCTGACCCGTGAGTCATGAGGGGTGCTGGGCTTATTGAGCTGCCACCACCGTGAGTCACCGCAGCAGCTGGAGCTGACTCCTAATGAGGGAACAGACCCGAGCAGAGCTTTGGGAAGAGCAGGGAAATCAGGGATCTGCATCCCTGCAGGCCTGGGACTGCACCAGCAGCTCTGGCTTCTCCTCCTGAGCCGGCTGGGAGAGCTCGCCTGGGGAACAGAGGGATCCAGGGAGAGCTCAGAGCCTCAAGGGGCTCCAGGAGAGCTGGAGAGGAACCTGGGACACGGGATGGAGGGACAGGACACAGGGAATGGCTGCACACTGGGAAAAGAGAGATTTGGGAAGCAGTTCCTGGCTGTGGCCCTTGAATAGCATTCCCTGAGATATGGTTGTGTTCAAGGGTGCCAGGACGAGGGAAGAGATGAGAATCTTGACTCCATGTTTCAGAAGGCTGATTTATTACATTATGATATTATGTTAATTAAATGCTACACTAAAACTATACTAAAAAGAATAGAGAGAAAGGATCCATCAGTGGAAAGGAATGAATAACAAAAGCTGGTGACTCTCAGAGAGTCCAACATCTTTGATGATGAACCAGTCCAAGATGCACCTGTTGGTAACCCATCTCCAGACCACATTCCACAGCCTGGGAATCATCATCAGATAGTTATTGTTTACATTTCTTTAATGAGGCTTCTCAGCTAGAACAGGAGAAAAATCCTGGCAAAGGATTTTCATAAAGATATCATGGTGACACAGAGAAGCTGTGGCTGCCCCTGGATCCCTGGAAGTGTCCAAGGCCAGGCAGGAGCTGCCTGATCTCATGGAAGGTGCCTGCAGCTGGTTGGAATTGGATCATCTTGAAGATCCCCTCCCACCCAAACCTTTCCATGGTTTTCATGATTTCTGTGATTTCAGTATCTTAAGAGACACGGAAATACTTTATAATTTTTAATTTTTTGTTTCAAGAGTGTGCTGGGTTGCCTGATGTTTGATAAGGCTGCATGTGACAGAGTGAGGAGATAACCCACGCTCTGCAGCTCAAGTCTCTCCTGCACCTGACATTCCTGAGACAACTTCCAGGAGCCGAGCAGGCTCAATTATCCCCATGACAGGTCCACAACTGGGCCACCAGTCCCTTAAAAAGCTCATTTTCCATATGGAATCCCAGAACTCTTGAGGGGCTATTGCTGCCTTTGATTCCTGGTGGAGCAGCTCCCAACTCCACCTTTTCCACCTTTTTCTTGGATTTCCATCGAGTGCCTGTGCCAGGAGTCCTTTTGTGTTCCAGCATTATCTGTGTCCTCCCTGGAGCAGGCAGCAGTTATCCACAATTATCCTGGTGGGGAGGGAAGTTTCCTCCAGCCATCCCAAAAGCCGGATTGATTTTTTTGGGAACAGGACAAATCTGAGCTCTGCTGAAAGAGAAGACACAGAGGTTGTAAATAATCAGAGTTTAGGACCTCTTAATCCATTGAGGGAAAAAAAACCCCAAACCCTGGCAGTTCCTGCAGTGCTTGGTTTGGGATGTGGAGCTCCAGATTCCTTTTTAAATCCCAGCTGGAAATCTGTCCTGGAGAGGCCAGATCACAGCGAGCCGTGCCAAACGTGCTTGGTGTGATTATCAGAGGAAGGGATTTGTGGAAAGATCCTTGTGTAGGAAAGGAAAAACTTGGAGGATGACAGAACAGAGAATTTCTGGAGTCTGGAGATCCTCAAATCCCACCTGGATGTGATCCTGTGCCGCCTGCTCAAGGCTGGGTGGTCTCCAGAGACCTCTCCGAGCCCAACCATTCTCA